CGACCTGCTGGGCTCCAGTGATCCTTCCGCCTCAGCCTTCCAAGTAGCTTGAATTACAGGCATGTGCTACCACGCCCGGTTGATTTTTTGATTTATTGTAGAGATGAGGTCTCGCTGCCCAGGCGGGTTCGGACCCGCGGGCTCAGGCAATCCACTCACCTCAGCCTCCCAAAGGCGTGGGATTACAGGCTGAGCCACTGAGCCCGGCTTCTGTTCATATATTTTAGATAGATAATAGATAAGTAGGGATAAATAGGACGATACAACTGATATATAATGGTTTCAAATATATAACTGATATATAATGGTCATATTCTAAGGATTTCTTGTCTAACATTACAATAGTGCATATTGGGCTTTAATTCTTTTTGCAAAATATCTCTGAGGATATCTGATTTGAGACCTACAGTATTTAAATTAGTTATCTAATTTGGTAACAATCTCCATGGATCATCCTACATAAGCCTAAAAATTGTGCTGGGCTATGTGGCTCTTGTTAGGAGTTGGACAAGGTCTCTCACCCTTGTGTATGATCAGTCTTGGCCATAGAGCGCACTTGTAGAGTCTGTGTCACCCCAGCATGCTGTCAGTAGGGCAGGGAAGAGAATGTGGTAATAGGGCACTTTGTTCCTTCTACTCTGGTTTTACCTGAGATGTGTAGCTGGCACATGGAGTATAGTTTCACTCCACTTACTTTTATTCCTCTGTTACAGCTGTTTGTAATGAAAAGGTTGGAAAGCCAAGGTTAGAATTCTGCTTCAGGTATTAAGTATCTCAAGAGCTGGTGAATTGAGATGTATAATGCTGTAAGAAGACAAAGATCTGTAGTTAGGCAATTGAGACCAAATAGAAGAAAAGTTGGTTTTATAAAGAATAATATAAAGTAATAAATAAATGATCTAATTTTAGAATTTTGATTCTAGTAGTTGAATGTAACCAGTAATTTATATAAAACTTTTAACCTGATAATAAACCCATTTGGGTAAATGAAAATTGAAATGTCTTGTGTATGTTCTTTACTATTATAATTTGGTAGTTTTAGTATTTGCTGTGTGAGGGAGAACCCCAAAAAATGAATTTATAAAAAATTGTGTATTCTTACATGTTTAAACTTCAGTCACTGTCAAAATACTCTCCATTTGATGCAATATACCTTTTGAGACACTTTTTCCACTGCTTAAGACAGTGAAACTGTCTTCACTCATTCATTTGGATGCCCTGTAGCATTTCCACCGTTTTCATTTTATTTCTTCCACATCTGCAAAACATTTCCCTTTGAGTAGTTTTTTCATCCCAGGAAACAAAGTCACTCAGGACAAGATCCGGCGAATGGGAGGTGTGGGGTGTGGGGTGATGCCATTTTCAGTCGAAAAGGGCTGAACACTCAGTGTGGCGTGGGCAGGTGCACTAGAAATCACGCATCATGAGGTGGACAAACGTGGAAAGAATCTCTAAAAAACATTCACTGCCAAATGCAGGCTCTCACAACAACACTAGCTGGTACATGGATGCAGATGGGTTCCTGTACTACAAGGGCCCATCCTCCAAAAATAATTAGCTTATTTTGAGGATCTCCCTAGGGGTAGAAACCAGAATTTATTTATTTAAGAATGCTGTGTATTTATTCTTAAATATTTAAACTTCAGTCACCTTCAAAATACATTACTTGATGCTTTTCCCACTACTCAAAACAGTTTTGAAACTCATTAATTTGAACGCCTGTTAGTGCTTCTGCCACTTTTTGTCTAGCCTCTTTCACACTGGCAAAACATCTTCCTTTGAGGACTTTTTTCACCTGGGGAAACAAAAGTCTTTTGAGGAGAGATCAGATGAAGAGAGAGGATGAAACATGGGGATCATACCGCTTTTGGTCAAAAACTGCTGAACACTCACGGTGAAATAATCTCACAACTAAGGACATTTCTTCTGCAAATCGTGTCGCAGCTGTCCCAAAACTTTTATATAAAGACTTTGGTTGACCGTTTGATCCAGGGGAACAGACTCTGAGTCTACTACAAGGGGCCCACCCTCCAAAGATAATTCTGGGTTTTTTGCGTCCCTCCTCATATAAGAAAATAAAACTGTCAAAACTCTTAAATCTATAAAACAGTAAGAAAAGTATTTTTAGTTTATTATGAATTTTTCTGTAAATAATTAAGGGATGACTTTGTTAGTCTATATTTTAAAATATAAAAACCATAGATTAAAAAAAATATGTATATATATATATATTTATTTATTTATTTATTTTTTTAAAGCAGAATTTATTGAGAGGACAGAAAAGCTCCCATAGTGGGAGGGGACCTGAAGGGGTTGCCTAATACATATATATTTTTAAAATTTAATTTTATTTTTTAATTTTTTTGAGTCAAAGTCTCACTCTGTCACCAGGCTGGAGTGCAATGGCATGCTCACGATCACCGTGGCCTTTACCTGATGGGTTCAGGCTATCCTTTCATCTCAGCCTGCATGTAGCTGGAACCATAGGTATGTGCCACCACACCTGGCTAATTTTTTGATTTATTGTAGAGGTGAGGTCTTGCCAAATTGCCCAGGCTGGTCTTGAACCCCTGAACTCAGGCAGTCCTCTCCCCTCTGCCTCCCAGAGTTCTGGGATTACAGGCATGAGCCACCATGTTCTACTATTTTCTGACATTTACGGAGCCTGTTTTAAAATTTGAATGTTAGCATAGGTATATTGGTTAGCATAAATAATAGTGGTTATTTTTAAGTTTGCAGTGAAAATGATATTCTAAAAGATATAATAGCCATATATAACTCAGCTTATTAGCAAGAAAAAAGCATTTAAGATAGCTTAATCAAATTAGTTTTAGCTCTGAACTGCAAAAGGAAATAAATGGGAGTTTCAGTTAAAGTGCCAGTACCAGGGCCAGGCGTGGTGACTCAAGCCTGTAATCCCAGCACTTTGGGAGACCAAGGTGAGAGGATTGCCTTAGCCCACGGGTTAGAGACCAGCCTGGGCAACTTGGCAAGACCTCATCTCTACAATAAATCAAAAAATTAGCCAGGCATGGTAGCGCGTGCCTATGGTTCTAGCTACTTGGAAGACTGAAGTGGAAGAATCACCTGAGCCCAGCAGGTCAACGCTGAGGTAGCCGTGAGTGTGCCATTGCTCTCCAGCCTGGGCCATGCAGTGAGACTCAACTCAAAGAAAAAAAAAAAGCCAGTACCATCTAGTTTTACAAAACTGGTATTACCCTGGGTTTTAGTGGTGGGGTTTGAACATTTGGCATAGGAATTTGGTGATGACTTCTGCCCTCTTAGAGTTCATATCTTCAAATGGTCTTGTCTTTTTTTTTGAGTTGGAGTCTCACTCTGTAGCCCAGACTGGAATGCTGTGGCCGCTCCCAGCTACCGCAGCCTTGACCTGCTGGGCTCTGGTGATCCTTCCGCCTCAGCCTTCCAAGTAGCTGGAACTACAGGCGTGCACTACCACGCCTGGCTAGTTTTTTTTTTTAATTTATTGTAGAGATGAGGTCTCGCCAAGTTGCCCAGCAACTGAACCCACGGGCTCAGGCAATCCACTCACCTCAGCCTCCCAAGGCACGGGGTTACAGGCTGAGCCACCGAGCCCCGCTGGCCTTGTCTTTTATAATTTTTTTACACATAAAAATAGTATAAATTATTACTTAAAAAAATATTTTAATATAAAGATGTGGGGTACAATTCAGGGTTAGGAATACAAATGTTCATTATGCAAATACCCTTGTTGATGAGGTGTGCCCTACCACCACAACAGTTTCCTACTACTGCTAATCTCTTTTTTATATTATTATGATAATTGTTCAAGATCTGCTTATGAGTGAGAACTTGTAGTACTCAGTTCTTTGTTTCTGTGACAGATCACTCAGTATTATAAACTCTTAAGTCCATCCAAGTTGCTGCAAAGCTTATAATTTTGTCCTTTATGGTTACGTGATATTCCATTGTATATATGTACCCCATTGTTTTTTTATCCAGTCCTCTTTTGATGGACAGCATGGTTAATTCCATGTTTTTGCTATTGTAATTAATGCTGCAATAAACATGCGTGTGCAGGTATCTTTTTCATAGAGAGATTTGAGTTTCTTCGGGTATATTCCCAGTAGAGAGATTATGGTGTCATGTGGAAGGTCAATTTTTAGATCTTTTAGGCATTGCCAAACTGTTTTCTACAGAAGCTGTACTAGTTAACATTCCCACCAACTGTGTAGAAGTGTTCTCTTTTGTCCATATCCTCTCCAGCATCTTTTGTTTTTTGAGTTATTGATGATAACCATTCTGACTGGAGTTAGGTGGTATCTCATTGTGGTTTTAATTTGCATTTCTTTGACGACTAGTGAGACTGAGCATTTTTTCATGTATCTGTTGGCTGCTTGTTTGTCTTCTTTTGAAAAGTGTTTATTCGTATCTATTGCCCACTTTGTAATGGGTCTTGGGTCTGTTTTTTTTTTCCCCAGCACATTTGAGATACTTGTAGATCCTAGATGTTAGACCCTTGTCAGATATACAATTGACACAAATTTTTTTCCAGTTTATGGACTGTCTCTATTTATTACTCTTAAAGTTGGGATTCTTTGTTTTTTCCTGTGTTTTTATTTTGCAGTTTTTCACATTTAGTAGCCCTAACATGAATTGTGAAATTTTGAGATTTCTCATTCAGTTTACTTATGCATGAAAAGCTTAATATGTGAGACAAGACTTGAGAAACTCTTAATGAGTCTATGATAACAGTTAATAGGGAGGAATGGGGTAAAACTTTAAAGCCATGAGGATTAAAATATTGACTAGTTCAACTCTTTGCTCGCATTTTTTCTCATCTCACTCTAAAAGATCATATTGCCTTACCACTAACACAGAGCAAGAAGGAATAAACTGGCAAAACAGATGGCCTGTTGTTGGTGACATACTTCTGTCTTTAAGAACATTGATTTTTTTTTCATGAAGCTCATTTTCGTTAGGTATTGAACTCTAAATTGGTGTTGCTTTTTTTGTTTCAGCATCAAAGCTGGACGACTCCTCTCCTGCATCCCTTATCAGTTGTACTCCAAACAGTCCAGTGTGCAGAAAGGTCTCAACTTTAATCCTGTATGCAAACCTGAGGATCCTGTACCAGGTCCAAGTAATATAGCCAAACAACTCAACAACAGGGTGTAAGTTTGTCTAGTTTGGTAATACTGCAAAACTGGTTTTTTGCAGTGAGTATGGTCTCACTCTGATGACAACAGAGAGAAACAAATGTAATATGTGGTCATTCACTTATAATGAGCATATTGAAATACATTTGTGGGTGTCTTATCTAAAGATTATTTTTATGATGAAAATGTAAATAAGTTTTTACTGTCACACTAGAGTTCATGTTAAACTCGTGGGTCTTGAATTAGTTTTTCATGGTTTTCTTTTTTTTTTTTGGAAATGTTTCTTTTTTATTTTAAAGATGTGGGGTACAATTCAGGATTAGGTATATAAGTGGTCATCATACAGGTGAAGTTGGGACCTCCCTTTGAGCTCCACTTCACCTGGTTTGAGATCAGGTCATGGTTTTCATGAAAGTAATTATGCTTCCACAACTAATTTACTGTAGAATACTGCTTTCTTAAAAACGGAACTAACTGCACCAGTTATACTTCTATTGTGTACCATGCATAGAAAGATAAAATATTAACATTTCTAGATTATTTTTGAAAAATTCAAAATGGACAACTATATTTCTTAATATGTAAATATTTTATGTTAATGGGAGCTTAGTTGGTGACTTTGGGTTATAGAACTGGGAGTGAATCTAGACTTTATTCCATGTGGCTGATTTTTAAAAATTGTATTGACTTAAGCTTTAATTGCTATCTTGGGGATATTGGTTTCACAATTAATTGGTGTGTTGCCTTGTATATCAGGTGGTTCATTATCATTAACCTTCTCCTTACTTATTAAATTGCTTACCTTGGGAGTTGGGTATATTTTTTTCCAAAATACCAGGAGTCTAATTAATCTGGGAAGTTCTGCTATCACTATCTTCTATAATTTTTTTTATCATTTGTTATTTGACTTATATTCACTACTTATAAGCACATTCTAATGTTTTTTATTTTACCTAGAACATTATTTTTTAATTCTACTCTCAAGGTGTTATAATAAGTAATATCAGAAAACTTTTTCACAGAATGCACAGCTTTATTTCTCTTACCTGCACTAATAAAAGTGGGAAATAGATATGTGTTTATTTCAAATTCTTCATTACAATTTTAGGAGGAATTCACCTATTAGATTTTACTTCTTAATGCATTTGTGCCATTGTATAAGAAATACTTATCAACCAGTGATATTTTCAGTATTGCTACTTTGCAAATGTCTACTTATCTAGGCTAAGAAATGTACTTACAGTGTATTTTCTTGTCAGTATATGTATTTCTGTTGTATGTGTTCCTATAATACATGTAAAGAATTTTAAGTTTTTGATACAGAAAACTAGATGTAAGACTCTTCTGCCTTATGTCACTTTTGTTGTTTTCTGTTTTTTCTTTTTTTGATATGTTCAGTACATTGTGTAAATTTCTTTGAAATGCTCTTATATGACTTTTTGCTCCCTTGCTTTCTCTTTATCTCAAGGGGCAGACTTTCTCTGCCATGTGACAAATTAGATTTTCCTTTTCTTTTCTCTTTTAATGGTTTCCAGTTTGTCTTCTTTTTCCCTTTCCCTGGAGTGATCTCCTGTGAGGATTGGAGCTACTCAGAGTGCCTTCATATTCCAAATGAGGTGGTTAACCAGAGCCCAAGCTAACCCAGAAATGGGTGGTAATGTTTAGCATCCAACGTGTGTGGCTTTTCTGTGTAGGCAGATTGTCATTACTAATAAACCAAGTTGATATAGGATGAGGGGATTTAGAAAAAGCCTGGTAATAATACTGTGGTAATTTTACTTGCATCCTAGTTCTATGTGTGGCACCCCTTCATCTGGAGTGTGAACTGTAATTTGATTAGTGCTGTGGACATTTATAAGTAGAATGATACTGCTTTATAATTCAGCTTTTGGTTTTTGTTACTTAGATTATTCTCATGAATGCAGTTGATTTTGTCCTTATTATAGAGCATTACTACATAAACATCTAGTGGAGCCAGGAAGTGAATGCAGCATAACATTTCTCATAAGTTCTGCATTTATAAACCTGTCATCTATAAACCTAAACTTGGTCTAGATTGCCTTGATCACACTGGCATCTAAATATGTTTTTCATAGAAGTGAAATGGCATTTCTCTTGTCACTAGGAGAAATGTCCTCATTTTTCTAGGTATAAGTTTTACTGAATAAACTCCACACATTGACCTGGCTCTTATGTTTTATCGACTTATGCAGCAATGAGTTCCATTAATGGGTTAACCAGTATAGTCTGTCAGTTTTTTTAACTGATCTTAGTATTTTAGTCCCATTCTAGCAGTATTGGATTTAATGTGTTGAATAGTATCTTACATAAAAGCTAAAAGTAAAACTAGGGATAAGAATTCAATTAAAATTTTTCATCCATTTTTTTATGGAGGTTATTATTGTATTAATTCAGCAGATATTTATTGGCTATATAGTAAATGCCAAGCACTGTGCATCAGAACTGGGTATTTAGAACTTATAGATTCCAATTAATTTTTTGGTGAGAAAAAGTAATTGAAACAAATTTTTGGGTTTTTCCTCCACCATGAAAAAGATTTCATTGTATTTATTCTTTAGAACTATCCAAAGTGAAAATTGGAAGAAAAAAAAAAAAAAGACCAGGCACAGTGGCTCAAGCCTATAATATTACCCAGCACTTAGGGAGGCCAAGGTGAGAGGATTGCCTGAGCCCACGGGTTTGACAACAACCTGGGCAGCTTGGTGAGACCTCATCTCTACATTAAATCAAAAAATTAGCTGGGTGTGGTAGCGCGCACCTGTAGTTCCGGCTACTTGGAAGGCGGAGGCAGAAGGATTGCCCGAGCCCAGCAGGTTGGCGCTGGCTGACCATGAGCCAGCCACTGCACACCCCAGCCTGGGCGACGGAGTAAGACACCGACTAAAAAAAAAAAAAAAAAATGCCTAAAGGCTGATAATGTTCTCGAATTTTCCTAATTATGTTTCTACTTCAGCAAAAAAGTATTTTTTGTCAGAACAGAGAGTATATAAAGCTTGTGGTTTAATTTTTAGTTTTTAAGGAGGACTATAGCAACATGTATATCACTAAGAAAATGTCTGAATGAAAAATGTTTTAGCCTAAAAGTCAAACATTATGAACTTATATAGTTTTTTCTTTCCTGCTTTAGAAATCACATAATTAAGAAGATTGAGACAGAAAATGAAGTCAAAGTCAATGGAATGAACAGTTGGAATGAAGAAGATGCAAATAATGATTTTGGTTTTTTGGATCTGGAGCAGACATTTCCAGGAAGGAAACAAAATGGAATTCCTCATTCCAGGGGCAGCACTGCCATTTTTAATGGACACACTCATAGCTCTAATGGTGCCTTAAAGACACAGGATTGCTTGGTGCCCATGGGCAACAGTATTGCCAGCAGACTTTCTCCAGACTCTGCCCAAGAGGAAGAGAAGGCTGAACAGAGCAGCACTGATTTCAGAGACTGCACTCTGCAGCAGATGCAGCAAAGCTCCAGAAACGCAGATGCTTTGCGGAATCCACACAGAACTAGTTCTTTCTCATTATCGTCTTTGCACAGTAACACTAAAATCAATGGTGCTCACCACTCCACTGTTCAGGGGCCTTCAAGCACAAAAAGCACTTCTTCAGTACCTACTCTTAGCAAGGCAGCACCTTCAGTGCCATCCAAACCTTCAGACTGCAGTTTTATTTCAGACTTCTATTCTCATTCAAGACTGCATCACATATCAACGTGGAAGTGCGAATTGACTGAGTTTGTCAGTACCCTACAAAGACAAAGTAGTGGTGTCTTTCCAGGAAGGGAAAAGTTAAAAAAAATGAAAACAGGCAGGTCTGCACTTGTTGTAACTGACACAGGTAGATACTTACTAAAATTGTCTTCTTAACAAACAGTCATGCTTGATCATTTTGTTTCATGCTATCATTGGTATTCCGGTCAATAGTAAGTTCTCATAACAGCCTCTAGGAATATCAGGTTGTATAAGTTACAGTAAGTATAACAGATTATAGAAAACATTTATTAAAAATTTTTTGGACAATTAGCTTTAATTGTGGCTAACTGAAAATTTTCACATATTTTAAACAGTAACATGGTTGGGATTTTGAGCATTTATTCCTCATATAGCGTTTATCAGTTGTTGAAGTTTTGAACTGTAAACATAACATAATAATCAGTGATTAAATTCCTGTAAGAATGAACATGGTTTGGTAAGAGTAATTGTTAATTTCTAGTAGCCTGAATCATGATATTTTAAATTAAATAATTTTGACATATAGCTGTTCTAGTTATAGTGTAAACTTTTAGTGATATTGAGTATTTTCTCCTCTAAGTGGCCTGGTTAATTGTATTTTGATTTTTAATACTTTCCCTGTCATCATAAACAAATGCACATAACAATAGCAGACTGTATTTCTGTGTCAGTCATTATAAGTTAGTATATGATATGAAGTTTTAGTTGCTTTTACATATTACAGGATTTTGTTGGGAGGAGAGATCTTAGAGATGATCTTATACTATTGTTTAATTTATATTTGTGGAAACTGAGGTACAAAGAGAAGCTCATGGTTCTGTCCTAGAAAGTGATAAAGCCTCTCCTTGTGGGTTTTTCTGTTATGTTTTATTGTGTTTGATGTATTCCTGTGTGCTTTTATTTAAAAAATACTTTTTGGTATTTATGAAATATTTCAGAATAATGTTATAGGTATTCATTATTCTTACATCATGTCTTGGCCTTGTAACCTGAAGGTCACTTAATTTTGAATGTTACCAAAAACTAATATGAATTAGTTCTATGAAAGGGAATAAGAAGTTTTGATATTGTTGAAAGCATTTGGTAGATATTGGTTTAAGCATTCTGTACTTCTTGAATGTTTAAAACCATTATTTTGAGTTGTTTATGTTTATATAATATTTTAAAAAATACTTGTATAAGCAGAACTGTGATTGTTAAGATTTATTTTATAATTCAGTTCTCAGAGTAACACAGAAGGTAGCCAGGAAGTAAGTGGCATGGCTTCAGAGTTGGATAGCTTAGTCTGAATCCAAATCCTTGCTCTGCCACTCTCATGCTGCAGGACCATGGGCGTTAGTTCACCTCTCTGAGTCTCAGTTTCCTCTCTGCAGAGAAGTGATGGGTTAGTCGATGATGTTCACATCCTGGGGCTGGGAGCAAAAGAAAACATGAACAAAGATTCAGTGCCTCCATAGTGAGAACTAGGTATATGCTGTCACAATCACAGTTTGGTAAATGGAGTGGTCCAAAACTTGTAAGGGGTAAATCTAAACTTTTGGAAGCCTATTATAAAAACTAACCCTCAATACTAATATTCTTAAACCTATCTGAGGAAAATGTCTTTATGAGATCAGAACTTTTTACAAGCTCAGGACTTGTGTAAGAGAACCAGGGGAAGAGGATAAGGATGAGACTGAAAAGCTCTGATTATGTCTGGATTAGGATTAAAATGACCCTAATGATTCTCTGTGTAGCTCAGGGTGATTTCCTTAGGAATGGACTCTCATCTTTATCTCTTTAATGTGGTATATGTGCTTCAGAGCTGATTTTTAGTAGTATTTAATGACATAAGAAGAAAAATTCCATTTGCATGGAATTTTGTTTTATAAATTACTTTTATGGTATATCTGCTTAGAACAGAACAGTGGTAGTTTGAAGACGCTGAAATCAGATTGCCTGGAATGGAATCAGAGCCCAGGTACTTACTAGTAGGCTGTGTGACTTAGGCATGTTATTAATCTGCAGAAATGGGCATAAGAAGAATATCTTCCTCACAGTGTTGTGAGTTTAAATAAATTAATGCATGTTAACTTATTGCCTGACACTTACCAAGCACCGGATCATGGTAGCCGTCGTTACTGTTGTATGTTATCAAGGAATGTTTGTAGACTACGTGGAGTACTGAACATCAAAAGTTACTTAGCTTCATGTAACTAAATGTATGAAAACACCTTTATACATTTTAATAAAATAATCAGCATTATGAAATAATTTTAAGAAAAGCTTTTTGATAAACTTTTAAAGAATCAGTTACTAGAATAGAGACTAGGAAAATATAGTTATCTTCACAACTGATTTAAAATTATGTTTGAAAACTAAATTTGTGTCTCTGAATTACTTTCAGAGCTAGAGAAACTATGACTTCTGTTGAGGTGGTAGAAATATAGAAATAATCTGTAGTAGATTCTGAATTTTTTAAGACTCCATTCTACTTACAAGCATCTTTTAAATATAATTTCTAAAATTAACTAGTCCTAATTTTTTAATATTAAAAATTAGTTTGGGGTTTGAATGTTCTTTTTTTCCTTCTAGGAAATATGTCAGTATTGAGTTCACCCAGACATCAGAGCTGTATAATGCATGTTGATATGGATTGCTTCTTTGTATCAGTGGGTATACGAAATAGACCAGATCTCAAAGGTCTGTATTCTTGTTTACGTTTTAAGAACATTGATGCATTGTTAGAAATATATATTCTAAAGGATCACAGAATACTTTTTTCCAAGGAAAATTGGTTCTTCCATATTTTCTGTACTTTGTTACAAGGAAGGTGTAGGGAAATTAGAAAGCTTTTTATTCTCCCTATAGAAATCAAGTCTTCAGGGAAGAATACTCATCTTCAGCTGAAGGATATATCATCAGAGACTAATACAGGCATTAGATATTTTCTATATTTTTATCTGTATTTACTCTTACTTTGTTAATGAATGGAGATTTTATGGTAGCCTATCTTTGAGGTTTGGGTCACTATACTTTCTCTTGAACAAACTTAATTAACTTTCCTGATGCAGATGAGCATCCCAACTTTTTTTTTTGTAAAAATATTTTTGTATTACTGAATATTGCTAAAATATGTTAAGTCATCTGGGCAATCTTTAATGAAATTTCAGATTATTTGTAAACTAGTCAGTTCTTTTAAAGACATATTCTGGATTTTTTAGTAATTGTCTCTGTGAAAGAAAATAGTACTTTTTTCTGAGAGTCAATTCTTCCCTTAAAACCTGGGCTTTAGTTTTGTTCTAGATAGTTGCTCCTTAAGCTCTGAAAGGAGTTTCTAAGAGTATTAGAGTAGTGATTTTCATAGAGTAATTTTTTAATGCAGTTGCTTTTTCTTTCCTTTTTTGGTCCTCATAACAAATGCATTCAGTAAATATATATTGAATTATCCATGCTATTGTTTTACAAGGTTATAGTTATCTTGTAACTTAACCCATACACAGAAGGAAATGATACCTGAAAGTAACTTTATAACTAAACAGAAACTGAGAGGTTGTATACTCTTGTTTGATAGTAGTAGGTCACATTGTGATTTCTATGCATATATATTGAATTTCTCTTCCTGTAAAATTGAGACATAAGTATTGAGGTTAATCCTGCTTTTCTGATATCAGAAATAGAAAAAAACATATATTTAGGTTTTTTTTTCTTTCCCTGCCCCTTCAATCTGAATCTAGGTTCTGAGTTACCTGTTTTATACTGTAAGAAATCACATAAAAACTATGGAAATGTAAGTTGACAGTGCTGCTTTTAGGTTGAATAAATGTATCAAAATTGTTACAGTTTACTTTTTTGAGGTGCTAAGAAACTTAGATGATGTTTGTGTGGTGATTTATATTGAAGGTATTAGTTTCTTTAGTTCTTTAATTCGTTTCATTAATTCTTCATTAATACCTAAATGAAGCTTTAAAAAAAGTCATATTTTGAAATTCTTTCAACAGTTTTTCTTTGCATGTTGTTAACATTCCTGTACTTAGATATAGAAATAATTTAATGTTTTCTTCACAGGAAAACCAGTGGCTGTTACAAGTAACAGAGGCACAGGAAGGGCACCTTTACGTCCTGGCGCTAACCCTCAGTTGGAGTGGCAGTATTACCAGAATAAAATCCTGAAAGGCAAAGCAGGTACAAATGAGCTCTCTTTGAAGTCTTAATGCTCCTGTGGATGACTTCTAGATTTTGCTATTGGTACTGTAGTTATAGAAATGAAAGCAGAGTTGACATAGTTTTTTCATTCAAAGGTTTTAAGGATGTCACTGACAGCTTAAAGCAAAATCTGAATATGGTACAACAAATGATTGGTTTACAATTATGCTTTGTGGAATTGGATGGTCATGTTTTCCTGGAACAGAGAGAATGAAGAATGTTTAGAAGATGGAATTAATTTGTTTTGTATGAATTTAGATTGGGTATGAAAATCATGGCCATTGCTTTATAGAAGCCTCTACCTGATTTGAGAGTTAGTGACTAGTCATTTGGTCATTATATTATAGTAAGGACACTAAAGTTTGTGTTACTCAAGATTTGTACAAGTAAATGGAATAAGAAATAGTAGAACTTTAATTATTGTAGCTAGAATGTAAACACAGGTAATCATTCCCCATATTCTTTAATTAACCTGTCAAAATGAGAAACATTTTCTTTTTCCTCTCTTGGCTTTTAAATTTCATTTTATTTTAATGTCATTTATTTATTTTTTTGAGTTGGAGCCTTACTCCATCACTCAGGCTGGAGTGCAGTGGCACGCTTACGGCCACCCCAGAGTTGACCTGCTGGGCTCAGGCAATCCTTCCACCTCAGCCTTCCAAGTAGCCAGAACTGCAGGCGCATGTTACCATGCCTGGCTAACTTTTTGATTTATTGTAGAGATGAGGTTTCGCCAAATGGCCCAGGCTGTTCTCAAACCCGCTCAGGCAATCCCCTCACCTCAGCCTCCCAAAGTGCTGGGATTATAAGCTTGAGCCACTGTGCCTGGCCTAATGTTATTTTTTTTGAGGCAGGGTTTCACTGGCACCCAAGTGATGGTAGATGGCATAATCATGCCTCACCACAGCCTTGACCTCATGGGCTCGGGAGATTCTTCCACCTCAGCTTCCTGAGTAACTGGGACTACAGGCATGCACCACCATGCCCAGCTAATTTTTAAATTTCTTGTAGAGACAAGGTCTCACTCTGTTGCCTAGGCTGGTTTCAAACCGGGCTCAAGCAATCTTCTTGCCTTGGCCTCCCAAAGTGCTTGAGTTATAGGTATGAGCCCCCACACCCAGCACTTTTAAGTTTCAGATATTAATCCATGAAAATCATAAGTTACACTAGTCGTAATACTTATAATATTTTCATGTATCCATTCCTTTTTCCCCTGAGTAAATTCACTAAAAAATTTTTTAAAGAAATTTTATTGATACTGATCAGTTTCCTCATAGATGTCTTGCAAAGCCAAAAACATATTTTTAAACTAATCTTTTAGAAAACTATTAGAAAGTAGTCAGAAGTTAGATATGTAGTGAAATGGAAGACATGCAGAGGTTAGTTTTATTTTAGTTAGTTCCCTTGTTTGTTGATTATAAAACCTTGAGATTATTTTTTAAATGACGCCAGTGAAATTGAGACAAAAGGAATGCCAGAAGACATCTCTGAGGACCTTTTTTGGACTTTAGTTGTGTGTGGTTTTTTGTTTTTTTGGTGGTGGTTTTTATCATCTGTTTACATGGTATAAATATGAAAGAAAATAATTGTAGATATGTATTTATGCTTTGTATGTACATATATTTTTCAAGTTTTCTGAAAGTTTTTTTGGTCTTTAAATCTTTTCAGAGAGTTAGACATTTGTGTGTCATGGGTAGACCTTGGAGTAGGGAGATATTACTGAACTTGTTGAGATTTAGTTGTATTGTGATATGGGTAGTTTCTTAAGTATTGGTAGTGTGGCTTTTTGGTAGGTTGACTTTTTTTTTCTTTTTTGTATTTTCCATGTGTTATTCAAAAGATGGAATCTTAAGTTCTAGAAAGCAGGACATAAGTAGCTTAAGGGAGGTATACAATACCTGTCACATATTGAACACTTAGTAAATACTGAAGAATGTTAAAAGAAGAAAGAAATACCATGTGTATACATGTGGTAGCATCTCTCAGTTACTCACTGTAGAGTCTCTGGTGAGTAGAGTCTTGAGGTTGTTATACACAGTCTTATATCAACAGTCTAAATCTAGAATTTTGACTTTAGCAAGTGCACATTCCTTCAAAGTAGCAGAGAGCTAGTCCTCTTTTGTCTTTCCTTCCATCACAAATAATCTGACTATAAATGGTTTATTAACAGAATACTATCATTGGTTATTTAATTATCTTCATCGATTTAGCCACCAGATTTTTATAGCATTTTTAATAACATTTTATAGTTCACAGTCCCTTCACACCTAAGTGTGTTTGGTAAACCAGAAGTCAAATATTAGGTAAATATTTAAATTTCACTTGCTGTTGAAAATAGTCAAAAGTAGATTTTCTTCTCACTAGACAAAATGAATGATACTTTGTATTTTATACTCTTGCTATAACTTGATGTCATTCACTTTTACACTAACAGCCTCTGACCCTTTAGGAGCTCCCCAAAATATTTGCTACATGTAAAATGAACAGATTGTCCTTTATTATAAAATTTGGTTACAACTAAGCTTGTGCTCAGAACTTTTTTCAGTGCCTTTGTTCCTCTTTTCTTGTTATTTCCTGATCTTTCTTTCTCTGGGTCATTATTAGATATGGCATCCAATATTGAGGATCAGTTTAGGAATTAGAATCTTTGGCATCTGTGTACTAGCTTTAAAAAAAAAGTTCTGATGTTTGGCTTGAAGTCTAGGGAAGAGTATTAGGACAGATGGCATCTTCAGTCCTTTTTCAAACCTTAGTTTCTTAGTCACTGTATTCAAAAACTCTTTCATTAGAGCAGAGTAACCAGGGGATCTCCTTCATCTGTGGCTTCCTTTGGAAGCTGCTTCCTGAACAGTACTCAGTAGCGACACTCCGCATCGATGATCTCATTATTTGCGCCATTTATGCTCCAGATTTCATGACTGGGGCCTTTTACCCCTTCCTGGATTCCCAGGATGCAGATGTTTTCTGTCCCTTCAGCAACTTCAGTTTTCATTCTAAAGAACAACGGTTTTAAAAATCGTATCGTCATAGATTTATTCTCAGCGATTTCTTTTTCACAGACTTGGGTCCTGGCCTCTGATTTCTCCAACCGTTCCTCCACATTCTCCATGTGCCCGTCTAGTTTGTCGAGTTTTGATGAGCAGTTCTCTACTTTGCCCTCCAGTGAGGACAGTGTATCCCTGCATTTCCCCGAATCTCACATGAAGCAACTCACTCCGCTCGTGGAGGGACCCACGCACTCTGCTGCACTGTGGAACAGGTCAGCCAGCCCGTTGAAGAGGAACACAGTGGTGCTGCCTCTCAGGCCAGGGCGTTGGGAGCGCACGGACCACAGAGACTGTTCTCTCCTCAAGCATATGTTTTCTGTAATTTCCAAGACTAGTATCTTAGGTTAACGAGCCTTCAGGTAGCAGAGTCACATAACTCTCCAGTTTTTAAGGCATGATTCATGATGACATTGTTGAACAAGTTGATTGATGCTCTGTAAGCTTCAGCAGCTCCTTTTTTGGGGTCTAGTAGCGCCCTCTGTTGAAGTGTGATACTGACAATCTGAAATTCTTACAGATTTTTAGCTTAGATTAATGGACCATTACAATTTATATTTAACCTTTTAAGAACCTTCTGAAATACTGGGTAATCTGCTCTGCATTCTGTCTTTAATTTTAATAATGTAGTGTAATGTTATTCACGTTCAGAAACCATACTTTACATAACATACTCTGCTTTTTTTATTTTTGATGAAAGTAGGATTTGACCCCACTGAGTAGCCAGTCCTTAAAGTTTGATTTGCATTCATGCTGTGTATATATGGGTGCTCAAATCCAAAAATGCTTGTATGGGTTGCATAGTTAGGTAAAAGAGATTGATGATTACTGGATAAATCAGAAAGAGTTGTTTTAGTCCATGGAGCCAGATGCCTTTGCTATGTTTTTCTGCTGGTGCATTAACTTGACTGATTTTTCATGGAACATTAAGTCCCTGAAGTAAACAGAAGAGAAATGCTTGGTTTGTTAGTTATATATCATTTTACAGTATATTCAAAATAGGTTTGTCTAGAATTAGTTGAACTGTTATATTCTGGTTTTGTTTTACTAACAGTATTTTTGTTTATAATAGTGGAGATTTGGCTGAGATTGTGTTGTTTCGAATGTAATATTTTTCGTACAACATAATTTTCTTGGAACCTACTAGTATTATCCCAAGAGACCTGTGACTGAAGTTGCGTTTTAATCTATTTCTCAATTACTAGTGAAACTAAAGGTGGTAAAGGAAGTAAAGGGACGTGAAACCAATAAGCTCTCTAGACTGTACTTTTGTATTCTCATGCAAAGTTGTAAATTTGGTTTGGATAGCAAGAGATACTGGTAAGCTGTGCTGTTTAGGCTAGAATTATATTCTGTAAAGCAGTTGATATTCTAATTATACTTGCATGTTTTTAATTGAACAAGTATTAGTCAACCAAAAGTAGATTACCCAAAGAAGGGGTGGGTAATGTTGTGAAGTTGTTTTACGTGATGTGTGTTCAAAAGGAAAAGCTTGAGTTTTGTTTGTTCAGGTGGCTGGTAGGAAGTTGATGTTCATTGAACATGTAAATCAGCTTTAAGTTCTGGAGATTGTTCTTCTAGGAAACAGCAGAGAATATTCAGAGAAATTTATATTTTCCATTAACTTTTTCCCATTGCAGAGAGTTGTATAGTCCTTGTAAAACTTTAGGATGGGGTTTATCTCCCTGATCACTTCTCATCCTTGTCCACCTCAGGGGACTGTTTCTATATTGGATATTTTATATTTATCTTCTGGTGTATTTTTTTTTTTTAAACTTTGTACTAAGCAGCACACTTTGAATTTATTACTAGTTTGTATCTGACTGCTGATGAAGAATATGATAGGAATAAACCACTTTAAAGAGTTTTCTTTTATTAGATAAGGAAACAGTACCAATACAGATAATTATATTTGGAATTACTAAATATTTGTATATGAAAAGGTTGGAAAATGCTTCTTGAAAAAAGTTAAGGAAAACAACTTTTTAAAATTAAAAATATATAATATATAACCATTAAATTTTATTTTTTTAAGCAGATGTACCAGATTCATCAATGTGGGATAATCAAGATTCTGCACAAATAAATGGAATTGATTCTGTTTTGTCAAAGGCTGAAATTGCATCTTGTAGTTATGAAGCCAGGTATGTAGAAGTCAAGTGTATTCGAATTTTTAATGAATAATTTGCTTAATTATTTCTGTATTATCTTTTGAAGTGGACTCAGACAAGCCAGCGAGGCCAGTTGTTTAAATATATTACAGATGTTTTATGGAAAGAGATGTTTTTACTCTTAGTCCTCAGATTCCTCCCACCCTCCCCACCAGCGCTAGATAACTTTAAATAAATAACTTAATAGTTCCCTGATGAGAACTAATAGGTCCTCCAGTGGAAACCAAAAGAAATTAGACTTTGCCATTTTTGTTGTCTTTTGAAGCGTGTGATTAGATTGTTCTGAATGGGAGAGGACCTTAATAGTTACCTACTCTAATCTTTTATTTTTACAGCTCAAATAAATCCCTTATAATCTAGACCTCCTGATATACAGTGTTTTCTTTTTAATCACCTCAACTGCCTGTTAAATAATTCCACACTGGCATGCTTAATAATAATCTCACTTAAAATTGGTAAGAGTATGTGGGCATCTCAGTTCTATACATTGGTGAGTTTTCAGTATATGTAACCTAATAATGGGGTCTCAAGAGATGGAATGTGAATATGAGATGGTAGAATAAAAGGTAGAATGTTATTGGTGGACTGGCTCACGCCTGTTATCCCAGCACTTCAGAAGGCTGAGGCAGGAGAATTTCTTCAGGTCAGATGTTTGAGACCAGCCTGGACAACATAACAAGACTTTGTCTCTGCAAAATGTCTTTAAAATTAGCCAGGCAGGGTATGGCACACATCTGTAGTCTCAGCTACTTGGGAGGCTAAGGCGGGAATATTGCTTGAGTCTGGGAGTTCCAGGTTGCAGTGAGCTGTAGATTGTAGCATGAATATATGTAGGTAACAGTATACATTACTATTAGTAGTTTTGCCCATACTTACCATAAAAAACAAGCTCTGTACATAATAAGTGAGAAGGTAGATATGTGGATAAATAATGATATACAAATACCATAGAATCATAAATTTTTGAGATAAAATAATTTTTAACCCTTTGCACTCTAATGTCCCCACTGAGGGGACTTCATAAATCTAGCAAACCACTCGGATGTCCCCTCTCAGGGGGCATAAAGAGATTGCTGGTGATTATACAGGACAAACTTATGTAAGTGCAAATTTTTCAAAAATGTATGTTTCCTTGAAGTTTTCCATTCAAAAACAATAAAAAACCTATGTCCCATTTGAAATTTGTTAAGCTTCTGATTGATCGGTTGAGAAGTGGTTTTCAGGAATCATAAGTATATCTTTCCACATCATCTTTGAACAACAGACTGGACAATAAATTACATATTATTATTGGGGGAAGAAGAAAAATACCAGGTTTTTCTTGTCTGCTCAGATAGAAAAACACCAGGTAGACGATGTCACACAAATTGCTATTGTACAACATGTATCAATGAACCTGCAATGCATGTTGGTGACTGTTTCACGTGTTACCATGTTAGAAAAATATAAAATTTAAAATTTTGATTTTTTTGATCATAAATAAGTTCCTTAATGTTCAAAATTCCCATTATAAGTCAAATATTATTACAATTAAATAGTTGATTTCAACGCTATATTATTTAATATGAGATGATTTGTTTTTCATTATTTCGCAAAAAAGTGCAGTCGGGTCGCCGGTAGGTAATCTTCAAGATGTTTCCAAGTACAAAGGGTTCAACCTCTGTTTTCTTGTGTTTTTGTAAGGACCCTTTACCTTTCTTATTAGTGATATGGATGTCTTTTAGTATGTTGAATGAACAGTGACAGTTTCTTTTTTAATATTAAAAATTTGAAATTACAGTGGTTATTTTTTAAATGTTGTCTAGTACAGTAACATATAATTGAGCAAAGCATATTGCCAAAAAGAAGCATGTTGTATGTGCATTAAATTTGGGAATAAATTATTTTTGCAGCATGCATTTATGAAATAGTGGTAGTTATCCTGCATGGGATTTTAGTTGAAAGAAATAGATTAGTTATGATAATGCGCAGATACTTCAGACATTTTTGTGGTTGTCTTTACTCATTTATTTTCTGTGAAACAGGTCTAATCAACTCTAGATAGTTTGCTTCCCTTAGTTATGGGGAACCTTAAGGTTCCCTTTTTTGTTTGTAACTTACTTATAGTGTTTAATGGCTCTTAAATATTTGTCTCTGAGAGGATGTGCAGTAATGCATAAGTAGATGTACTCTATTTTTCCGAGTAATTGCCTCTGAAGATTTCTGTGTTGAGGAAAGTTTTGAAGATGAAATTATTGTAAATATAAAAATGTAATATTTACAGGAATTATATAACACAGTCCTTTAAAATGAATAGTTACCTTTAATTTGTAAGTTAGCTTTACATGCTATATATCTAGCATTATTATTACCTGAAGTTTACCCTTCAGTACTAGACCTTTTTTCTGTTTTAATCATTTTTGGTAACTTTTCTAAAAGTTAGTGAACAAGGCCTGTTGCCTGTAGGTCATTCTTTGCTAGGTGAGTGCAGCCTCGTCCTCATGAATATTCTGAAATCTGCTTTAGTTACCATCCTGTATCTAGCAGCTCACAAAATGCCTGACACATAAGAATTGTTTTCTTAGCCAGGCTCGGTGACTCAGCCTGTAATCCCGCGCCTTGGGAGGCTGAGGTGAGTGGATTGCCTGAGCCCGCGGGTTCGAGACCCGCCTGGGCAGCAAGACCTCATCTCTACAATAAATCAAAAAATCAGCCGGGCATGGTAGCGCACACCTGTAGTTCCAGCTACTCGGAATGCTGAGGCGGAAGGATCGCGGGAGCCCAGCAGGTCGAGGCTGCGGTGGCCGGGAGCGGCCACTGCACTCCAGTCTGGGCGACAGAGTGAGACTCCAACTCAAAAAAAAAAAAAAGAAAAAAGAATTGTTTTCTTTACCATTCCATTTGTCACTTACCACTTCCTTTAATATCATTTTTCCTTCCGATTAGTATTCCTTATCTACTGGGAACTTAGCAATGAGACAGTTTATTATTGTTTTTGTGTACATTAAAAAATGCATGTGATTTTTTTTTTTTAATCTACCTCTGATAACTTGGAGGACTCTTGGATGGTCTGAATGTGGGGAGGGTGCCAGTGGCCCCTGTGTAACTGAGGCTTTTTTGTCTCTATGGTACTTAAAATGGGGCACATCTCTAATTATGTAAACAGTAAATATTTATTGAATGGATATACAGAATAGCCATTATATATTTTTTAGCCATTGTATAATATTTTGTAATTTGGTGAAACATTGCTTTATTATTTTGCTTGTGTTTTTACTACAATATTTTTCTTGATTTTTCTATGGAGTGATAAGTGGAATTTTACTAACTGTGTATAATTCCATAATTATAGTTTTGTGTTGAATGCTCCAAATATCAAAGGTAATGCAGAGCATTGAGACACGCAGTAGATTTAAAATTTACCATTTTCAATTAGGTCCCTCAAAGTTCTGGAACCCTGGCTCCTGCCCAGAGTGATGTCCTACCATATACATTGCTGTTGGCATCTCAACCACTGTGGAGCCACTTCAGGAGCATGGAATTGGTCAATTGGGAATTGGGTGGTAATAGGATGAGTACATTTTGTCTGTTTGTCACATAGCACTGTTTTGTGTAGTTCTTTTGTTCATATTCTTTGTTTTTGGGGGATGAGCCCTGGCCAAACTGCCATGTATCAGGGGAAGAAAACTTCTTTTTGACAGCACATTCCTGCTCTGTGGTGGTTGCGATATCACTAGCATATGGCATGCTGGCATCTCTGCAAAGGGGCCAGAGGTCTGAGTCTTAGGAGCAAGCTTCAGATAAAACAAGAGCCTAACCTAGTCTTTTAAAAACGTGTTTGGCACATCTCTATATATCATTTACACAAATCAGACAATTATGTGATATTTCTTTGAGGGAAAACAAACCTGTGATTTATCTTAATGTCTGTCTTTAAGAAAGGAGTTAAATGGAAATTGTAAAGTAATGGCATGGGGAGATACCAACATACTTAATGTTTGATTTTTGAGTTTAAAACTTCCTAGAATAACCTCCATTGTGTTTTGTTCTCTTTCTAGACAAGTTGGCATTAAGAATGGAATGTTTTTTGGGCACGCTAAACAGCTATGTCCTAATCTTCAAGCTGTTCCATATGATTTTCATGCATACAAGGAAGTTGCACGAACAATGTATGAAACATTGGCAAGGTACAGTAATTTAGTCTTTTTTCTTTCTTTCTCTTTTTTTTTTTCTTTTTGAGTTGGAGTCTCATTCTGCCACCCAGGGTGTAGTGCAGTGTGGTGTACCACAACGGCTACCACAGCCTCGACCTGCTGGGCTCAGGTGATCCTTCCACCTCAGCCTTCCAAGTAGCTGGAACTACAGGCACTCACTACCATACCCGGCTAATTTTTTTATATTTGTTCAGTGTTTCCTGGTGGTAATGTAAAATCTGATTCTTCTTGGGCATGACTTGTAGTAGTCAGTGGTTCTAGTTTTCTTCTCATGGAACCAGATAGGTGAAGGATTGGAATTTTTAACCTGGTTAATCTCTTTTTTTACATATAAATTATAGTGTTCTGGTATCGAACCTTAAAGCAAACTAAGCCCCAAACTAAGGTCAGGAAGATATGAGAGAGACCTGTGATACATATTGCTACACAGACACATACATGTACATGGTCCAGGTTGAATCTCAGTTAGGAGACCATGTCAGTGGCATGTTTCTATTATCGGGAAAAAGTTGTCAGTGTTACTCTCCTACCCCCACCTTTTGGCTATCCTATCTCAGCTTCATACTCTCCCTGCTTCGGGGCAGCTTTCACTCCAAAGAGAAATTCCTCATGTCAGGTATACCCTTCTGTTCTTAAAATTTTCAGTCTGTAAGCCTAAACAAAACATGCTTATTTCTTGAATAGAGGTATTATTTCTTTTTTTTGAGTTAGAGTGTCACTCTTGTCGCCCAGGCTGGAGTGTATTGGCACACTCACCAGCCACCACAGCCTCAACCTGCTGGGCTCAGGCTATCCTTCTGCCTCAGCCTTCTAAGTAGCTGGTACTACAGATACACGCCACCATGCCTGGCTAGTTTTTATGATTTATTGTAGAGATGAGATCTCACCAAGTTGCCCAGGCTGGTCTCAAATCCCCGGGCTCAGGTAGTCCTCTTGCCTCGGTCTCCCAAAGTGCTGGGATTATAGACAAGATATTTTTTCTTCCTTTCTTTCTTTTTTTTTTTTTGTGTTGGAGTCTCACTCTGTCGCCCAGACTGGAGTGCAGTGGCCGCTCCTGGCCACCGCAGCCTCCACCTGTTGGGCTCCGGCGATCCTTCCGCCTCAGCCTTCCAAGTAGCTGGAACCACAGGCGCGCGCTACCACGCCCGGCTAATTTTTGATTTTATTGTAGAGATGAGGTCTCGCCAAGTTGCCCAGGCGGATCTCGAACCCGCGGGCTCAGGCAATCCACTCACCTCAGCCTCCTAAAGGCGCGGGATTACAGGCTGAGCCACCAAGCCCGGCTTTTTTTTTTTTGAGTTGAAGTCTCACTCTTGCCCAGGCTGAAGTGCAGTGGCACACTCACAGCCACCCCAGCGTTGACTTGCTGGGCTCCGGCGATCCTTCCGCCTCAGCCTTCCAAGTAGCCAGAACTACAGGTGTGCTATCTTACCTGGCTAATTTTTGATTTATTATAGAGCCGAGGTCTCGCCAAGTTGTCTGGACTGGTCTGGAACGCGTGGACTCAGGCAGTCCACTCACCTCGGCCTCCCAAAGTGCTGGGATTGCAGACTGAGCCACTGAGCCCAGCAGAGAGATTATTTCTTAATCGTGATATTAATCTGATTTGTAACCCACAGTAAGGTGTGAGAGGTGAGGTCTGGCCCTCCTACTGTACTTTATGAAGAGGATGTTAAAGACATATTTTTGATCTTGAGTTTTCTTTTGTTGCTTCCTGTTTCTCGTCCAATTCTATTTTATGTTTTCCTAGTTTTCATATATAATTAGCATTGAAGTCACATAGCAACTCTCATCTTCCTTTTCTTCTCTAGCCAATTAAAAGAAGCTGTTAATGTGGGTAGATCATATAAGATGATTTTTTAAAAAATATTTCCACATGCAGGGAGTGTAGATGGGATTCTCTTAGGTGGTTGGGATGATTGGCTTCTTTATCCTACTGCATTCAGACCTAGGGGTCTGCTGAAATGAATGATATTTCGTTGTGGTATTTTTGTTCTAGTAGAGCAGCAATTATTTGATTGATTTATCTACTTTTTCTGCTTGATTCTTGTAAAACATGTTTGAAAATTTTTAGATTACATCTTTTGACAATTCAAATTCACCCATCACTTTTCTACTATTCAGAGGTTTACAAAAATCTCAGTAGTGAGAAATTGGAATTATAATTTCCTTTGTATTTTTATAGTTAATATGGAAAAAGAGAACATATTAATTAACTTTGTAGTCAAAAGTGGGGTGACTAAATAATGGTACTTTGGCAAAATTGCTTAAAAGTGTAATTTTAAAAACACATTAAGCCTTGCAAGGAAATGTTGAATAAAGATACCAAGTAGTTCCAGCTACTTGAAAGGCTGAGGCGGAAGGATCACCTGAGCACAGCGTGCCACTGCACTCCAGCCTGGGTGACAGAGTAAGAATCCACCAACAACAAAAAGATACCATAAGAAGACTTTATTTTGTAGCGTTTGTGTCTGCCTGATGGTGACTGCAGCTGTGATTCATTGCCTTTGCTCTGTATTGATAGCTATACTCATAACATCGAAGCTGTTAGTTGTGACGAAGCACTGGTAGACATCACCGAAATCCTTGCAGAGACCAGACTTACACCTGATGAGTTTGCAAATGCTGTTCGTATGGAAATCAAAGACCAAACAAAATGTGCTGCCTCTGTTGGAATTGGTTAGTGTCTAACTTATTTTGTATTCAAAGGAATTACTTTGAGATGTTTTAATATTACTTAATTTTAAGGAATTTTGGTTTTTAATAGCCTACTCTCACTTCTAAAGCAGTTTTTAACATTGCTTGAAATTGTGTGATACATAAGATAAAAGTATTGGAAATGTAGCTAAATAGTTCATAGTATCTTTGCAATAGTTGGAATATTTCTTGTTTTTTAAAAATGGGGAAAGTTGAGTTTAAAGTAGGATGTTGATGTAGGATTTATGTTTAAAGTAGGGTGTTGATGTAGGATTTGTAGTTAAGTATGTGTCTTGTTACACAATTACTCTCTCTAGTTCAGCTTCCTGGAATGTGCAGCCATTCCAGTCTTCACTCACTCAATCCTAGAAGTCACCCTGATTGTCAGGTGCTCTCATTTACTATCCAGTGTCTACGCATCCCCATTATTCTGTCTTTAAGTCTTGTACTTTGTTTCTTCAGCTTCTCTCAATACTTGCCCAGCTTTTGTTGACTCTTCCACCTGTGCCCTCCTGAACTCTCTTTGTCATACCTAAGCTTCCCTGAGTCACCTCTTCCTTTCTTTCTGAACCTACTTAATACCTCCTGCCAAGATGCCCCCTTTTTTTGTCATTCTTTTAAGTGGAGCCCGCTTTTTCCCGCCATAGTCAGTATGCCACGGGCTTGGGAGGAAAAGATAACTTTCTCTTAGCTTGCCATTGTCACGTCCAACCATTACTTATCCATCCTCATTCAAAAACCCTTCTTCCTCCACGGTTTCCTGTTCCTTTGTAACCATGGAGGTGACTGATGATGTGAAGAGGCTAACCCCATTGAAAGAAGAATTTGTTGCTTCCATTTCACAAGGGTGGGGGGGCGGTAATGCCACACCACACAGGGCCATCAGGGAAACACCAGGGTGGTTGGGAAGCAGTAGCAGGCACAGTGGTAGAAAATCTAAGTTAGAGGCTTTATTAAGGTTTCCATAGGAAACAGTGAGAAACAGTTTTAGAAAACAGTTTAAGATTTGCCAGTATGCAGCTGCCTCTCTTCATCAGGCTCTGGGAGTGCTGTGATGGTCAGAAGGGCAGCTGACACTCTGTGATGTCCCCATTCTGTATTCCTTGGTGAGCTCAAGGAAGATGCTGTGGTTGGCATCCAGCAACTTAGTCACATAGGGGTTTGGTCGTTGGGAGTGCTGGTATCTGTGGCCATGATCTGACTTTTCAAGCTGAGACAAAAAAAAAAGATTTGCCAGGATGAGTAATTCTGGCAGGCTTTCGGCTGTAGTGGTCTTGCCTGCTATCTGAGATGATTTAGGGCAGGGAATATACTAGCTTGGTATGTGAGAGTTTGATAAGGAAGTTGTTAGAGGCGGCTGGCTTGCACATGAGAGGCATGCTTCTAAGTATGTGGTTTACTACCTTTAGGAATTAGCTAGTTTTGGGAAGGCAGTCTTTCTTCAGCCAGCAAGAATTTTTGAGCTGTCCAAATCACTGCAAGATACAGAAAATACAATATATGATTAATATATACCCAGCATCCCTAGTTACTGGCTAGCCTCCCTTCTTACTCTTTGTTGTTGGCCCACAGATCTTCTTACCATTTAAGTTAAGACTTACCTTCTGTATTTCAGTGTCAGGCATAGTTTTCGGTTTTTGTTTTTAGTTATACTTTTTTTAATTCATAAGTGGTAATATGAATACATTGTTTTAAGTTCAAGCATATAATTTTAAAGCTAAAATCCTATGTGATATTTCCACTCTTTTTCTTTCCCTTCCCCAAAACCTACCACTTTTATCATTTTGGTGTGACTATCCAGAACTTTCTGTCTTCATGAATCTCAAGGAAATTACCTTAGGAAAATATATAGTTTTTATATAAATCTTCCATAAATTCAAGATATGTCTTTGATATAAGTCTGCCTTACTGTCTGGTGATTTTGGTATTCACAGAGAAGCTTGCCTAGCATCTGAACTCCACAGATTCTGGCTCTTCTATGTTTTGGTGCCTTTTCCTCTGGGCTGTGTTCGTGATCCATGCCCATATCTATATGGGAGCCTCACTGCTCATCTCCAGCTGCCCTCAGTTCCTCCATCTGCCCTGCAGTCCTGGTTATTGGGCCTTTCTGTTTGCCCCCGTCCAGTGAGTGCTGTTGTCCTCACTTCCCTACCTATCTTAGATCCCGTGGTTGGAACATGAACTGCTTTCTTTTCTTTTCTTTTTTTAATTTACTATACCATGCATTTTATTTATTTTTTTTTAGAAAGCAGGATTTATTGAGAGGACAGAAAAGCTTCCACAGTGGGAGGGGACCTGAAGGGGTTGCCCCCATGCATTTTATTATTCTTTTTTTTTTTAATTTTTAATTTTTTTATTTTAAATATGTGGGGTATGATTCAGGGTTAGGTATACAAATATGAACTACTGATCATTGTTTTCAATTCCCATACACTCCTACTCTTAAGATCAGGACTGCTTTCTCTGTTCTTACATCTGGTAAGGTGGTGAAGTGACTCTTCTTTTGGAACAAAGTGAAACCTCTGTCCAGCAACCATGTTGGTTATGACTTGTAATACTTAACAGAGTGCTAACACTTTTATATCCTTGTTTGAAATTATGAAAATTGTATGTTGTTTATGTTCAGTGTTTTTAAAAATGTTTGTAGCTGCCTTTGACAGAATTTTTTAAATTGTGAATATTTTATGGACTTTTTTTTAAATTTTATAGGTTCTAATATTCTCCTAGCTAGAATGGCAACTAGAAAAGCAAAACCAGATGGGCAATACCACTTAAAACCAGAAGAAGTAGATGATTTTATTAGAGGTCAGCTAGTTACAAATCTACCAGGTAAATCTCTTTTTATAACTTTTGTCTATTGTAGACCGTTTTAAGTGCTTTTGATAGTTCTGTGATGTAGAATTATGTGACCTCTCTTTTCCCAAACATTAATATTAAAAATTTTTTTATGCCAGGAGCAATGGCTCACACCTGTAATCCCAGCATTTTGGGAAGCCAAGGCAAGAGGATTGCCTGAGCCCAGGAGTTCGAGAACAGCCTGGGCAATATGATGAAACCTTGTTTCTTCAATAAATAAAAAAAAATTAGCCAGGTGTGGTAGTGCGCACCTATTGTTCCAGCTACTTAGAAAGCTGAGGTGGAAGGATCACCTGAGCCCAGCAGGTTGAGGCTGCAGTAGCTGTGATCATGCCACTGCACTCCATCCTGGGCAACAGAGTGAGACTCTGACTCAAAAAAATAAAAAAGAGCCGGGCTCGGTGACTCAGCCTGTAATCTCGCGCCTTGGGAGGCTGAGGTGAGTGGATTGCCTGAGCCCGTGGGTTCGAGACCCACCTGGGCAGCAAGACCTCATCTCTACAATAAATCAAAAAATCAGCCGGGCGTGGTAGCGCGCGCCTATAATTCTGGCTACTCGGAAGGCTGAGGCGGAAGGGTCGCCGGAGCCCAGCAGGTCGAGGCTGTGGTGGCTGAGAGCGGCCACTGCACTCCAGTCTGGGCGACCAAGTGAGACTCCAACTCAAAAATAAATAAATAAATAAAAAAGAAATTAAATCTAGTATTGAGTGCCATGAAAAACAAAATTTGGAATTCTGCATAGAATATACTGTCAAATGATTTCTCAAGACCTTCATGTTAAGTTTTAGTTTTGCTTCTAATGGGTTTTACTTTTAAGTATTTCTCAAGGAGCAAGATTATAATAAGTTCAAAGGAAATATGATGAAATTGACTTTCGGTTCTTTAAGTAAATCATAATTGAAATAGTTTACATGTCGTTCAAAGGTAAAGTTTTGAGAATTGATTCTTCTCTATTTATAAAATCATGCTGCAGGACTAGTGACAGTTTTCTGAGTTTAGTAAACCAATAATTTTAAAAGTGTGAACCATGCATGATAGGAAAAGTAAAACCTAAAGAAGCATTGTGTTTTCATTAACTGGAGACATTAAGGAAAATCTTCTATCTGTACCTTTCTTGCTTAATGGGACAGGATGTTGTTTTATGTTTTTGTTTAGTCACCTATTGTAAAGCACTTGTGTCAGCTTCACAAAGCTCCTGTATACATTTATAATGAAAGTATTTTAGTTCATTTGTTTGTTAAAAATGAATCTAATGGCATTTTTAGATGCGTCTGTTTAAACCTAATAAAAGTATATCTGTACCAACTTAGCAGTTATAGGCCATAAAATATAAATGACCCAAATACCACTTTATGGTGGGATAGTTTTAAAGCTTCCTGACCCCCTAGTAAATAACTCTTAACAATGTATTAGTGTCAGAAATGTGAAACATGACATTTTTGATGGTCAGTTTGAGGGTTAATTTGAAGAATAATTAGCCTTATAAAATCAAGCTAACAAATTACCTTAGTAAACAGCACAATTTAAGGTTTTAATAAGAGCTTTTATTGCAGTTTTATATCTGAAGAAACTAGTATGTTTAAAACTGCATGCAAAATTTTAGTTTATCATAGTAGGCATTTATATTAGTTTTCTAGAGGTGTCACAACAAAGTACTGCAGGCTGGGTGACTTAAACCATAGAAACTTATCATTATCTCCTGTTCTTGAGACCGGAAGTCCAAGATCAAGGTATCAGCAGGGATGCTTTTTTCTGAGGGCTCTACTTGGCTTATAGGTAACTATCTTATCCCTGTGTCTTCACGTGACTTTCCCTATATCTCTGTCCTACCTTCCCTGTGTCTCTGTCCTGATCTCTTCTTGGGGATTGAGACTTTAACATACAAATTTTGGGAGGATATAGTTTAGTCTAATTACACTATCTTTAAAGTGAATCAGTTTTGTAGCTTTTTTTAAAAAACAGAAATAGAGGATTTTTAGCTAGTTGACCTAGTTATCAGTTAACTTACCATTCACCTTCATTTGCTTTCTGGCTGGAAAAACGTTATTTCTTGAAGGCCAAGTGTGAGGTTACATGTCCTAGCTAATAAGCTCTGAGGCACAGCCCCAAATTTCCTAAAGGATGTCCAAAAGATAGGGGCAGCAGAATTGGCTTCCTCTTCTCTTCTTCAGAAGAGTTCTAGACCATTCACACGGGTTCATATGATTTTCATGTGTTAAAACTGTTAACTTTTATATAACCTCCAGATTCTTAATCTGATTTAGAACAGTTCAGGTATGTAAAACATCAGCCTTCTCCATTGTTACTCTTGTCCTGAAGATGTCATCCGTCCAAAAGTGTGTTCCACAGAATACAGGCTGTTCCTTTAAAAAGGAATTTTGTATAGGTGTGAGAAACTTCTGTAGTGGAGAGCTCCACACTGAAAGTTCTGAGAATTATTTAAATAAAGAAACCTATTTATCTTATTAAAAATTAGTAATTTCTTAAAGATAATTGGTGATGAATATACAGTACCTATCAACATTTTGTGGAACACACTTTGGGGAAACCTTGCTCCGTAACTGATAATCCACAAGAAATGCAGTGGTAACTATCCCACTCCCTACCTCTCTTTGGTCACCTGTGCTCATAAATGTTTAATGAACATATAATGTGTTGAGCACAATAATAAGCAATTAAGAGTGGCTACATAAGAAAGAAAAGCATAATAGTAAGTTTCTGTTTTAGGAGACTGCATAGAATAATGATGTTAGTTAGTAAATTAGTTAATATGAACTGCTTGCCTAATGAGAGAAAGGATTGTCCCCAACAATGGTTTCAGTACAAAGAACCATTCCTACTTGTCCTTCAGATCTTAGCAAGGCTTTTCTCCCCATGTGTGAGCTCTTAAATTAAGGGCACCTCATTCAGCCTCTGCTGACTTCGGAACTCCAGCTTCTGCATTTCATCTTGATTCTATTCTCAGAGAAACACTATGAGCACATGGGTGTTCATAAAGATTTGTACTATCCTAATACAGTAGCCACCAGCCAGGTGAAACTAGTAAAATAGAGTTAAAGTTAAATTAACAATTCACTTCCTCATTTGCAAATGCTCAGTTGCCACATGTGGCAGGTGCCTTCTGGCTTGCACAACGCAGATGAGAACATGTCAGTGTCACAGAAAGTTCTGTCGGACAGCACTAATGTAGGTGATGAAAACTTTATTCTTTAAAATGTTACTCCTTTGTGTCTGTATTGGACAGCCAAGTTCTGGATGCCAGGTAGGGAATTTTATTAACCATTTCTAACCTGGACTAATAGTTCTCCTTCAAGGAAAATACCAAGTCTTTTCCTCAGTTGCTTGATCAGGAGTTTCCACGTCTTTTTCTTTTCTTTTTAGAGACCTGATTCTGAGCTAGCATATTTTTCTTCATCTTGTCCTTTCAAGATAACTCTCTGGATCTGGGCATAGAGCCCCCTTCACTTTCTCCTTAGAGATGCTCTCTGTCTCTTATAAACATTTATTTACTTGATGCGTTCTGTTACACTAGCAGCTCTCTCCGGGGTTTTGGTGCTGGCTCTAAGCTTAATTTCCCCACCCCCATTCAGAGTAATAGGAGTTGCTTCTGAAGACCACTCAGGAAGAAAGGAGCTGGAACAAACGAGAACAGTGATGAGCAGAACTTCTCAGCCTTTGCTCTGAGTTCTCTTCTGATAAGGTCTTAGGCAAGACCAGAAATACACACTGTCTTTTCCATGTGGAAAATAGGGATTTGGTAGTGTGAAACCATTTTAACAAGAATTCTGTTTTCCCTTAGTTACTCTAAACCTTTTTCCTAGCTAGGTACACCATTTAAAGGTTTTAGGGCAGATTGGAGAAAACCAAGCTCCAACTTAGAGCAACAGAACTCATCAGTGTCCTTTGTGTAGGGCTCAATCCTCGCATTTTGCAGAGTAGGACATAAGAACTACTGCCGACTGGCCCAGCTGTAGAAAGGTTAGGACCTCTTCAGGGAAATCATCTTAATAAAAGAAATATGTATGTCTTCCCCTCATTTCCAAGTTTGCCTAGGAATCTTCAGCTCCAGGTCAGTGGTACTACTTTTGTTCAGAATGATAGCAAATAGCCTTTTTGGATTTGTAGCTATATTGTAAATTCTTACTCTGTTTCTCGCTCAAAGAAAATGTGGCTGAAACCAGTGAATTTGGTGGTTGTCAAAATCCTGGCAAAGTCCCTTACATTCTGTGAGTCTGCTGGTACATCTGTGAGTCGTGCTATAGACTTGTTTAAATAAGCCTATCACTCGATTAGTTGATTTGCAAATAAGAGAGAAATCTGGATATTATTCACTAATAAAATATTTGTTGATAACTTTAGTCGTACATATTTGAAAAGTTTCTGGTTCACCTTTATAGAGTACAGATTGAGAAGCAGATTCTTAAATGACACCACTAGCATGATCTTGCAATAAAAAAATTAATCTATGAGATGCTTTAGTTTAAGTTATTTGAAGATTTTAAAGGAGAAGATTTCAGATCCGTTTTTTTGTGCATGAATGGTAGCTACTTCATGTTACTAAAATTGTTTTCAATAGTTTATTCTGCGTAATTAAAGAACAGTATGTATGTATTATCTTAGGAGTTGGACGTTCAATGGAAGCTAAATTGACATCTTTGGGAATTAAAACTTGTGGAGACTTGCAGTATATGACCATGGCAAAACTCCAAAAAGAATTTGGTCCCAAAACAGGTCAGATGCTTTATAGGTTCTGCCGTGGTTTGGATGATAGACCAGTTCGAACTGAAAAGGAAAGAAAATCTGTTTCTGCCGAGATCAACTATGGAATAAGGTTTACCCAGGTACTGATCACTTAAAAGATTTTTATCTTATGTTGTTCTTTATGTTTTTACATAGTCCTGTCTTTCCAAGTGAACTATAAGGCTTTTGATGTTTGAAATAAAGTCTTAAGACTTGCTACTCTTAGGGCCTCAAGAAGGTCTTTTGAGGCACTACATGGTAAGGTATAGCCCTAGATAAGACTGAGGGAACCTAGATCTAGAGGAAGGATACTAAAAGATTATGCTTTGAGGGTCAGTTCTTAGAGACCTTGCGTTTATAATTATTCTAATTTCCAATAAAGAAAAAAAACCAAAAAAAGTATTTTTAATATTTAAATACTTTTTAAGCTATAGTTAAAATTAAGTTTCAGCGAACCCATTATGCATGCTTCTGGAAAGTAGTAGCACAGGTGACCGAGTAGTTTTCATTTTCCTTTAGAATATGGACTTGGATATGTCTCTGGAATATATATTAACAAACAACACCATATTGTATTAATTTGAAATTTGATGAGTTAATTTCCTTCTTTAACTGACACTTTGGACCTCACACCTGTAATCCCAGCACTTTGGGAGGTTGAGGTAGAAAGGGATTAATTAGGCCAGGAGGTTGAGACCAGCCTAAGCAACATAACAAGGCTGTCTCTACAAACAAATAAAAAATTTAGCCAGATGTGGTAGCTCGTGCCTAAGTCCCAGCTACTCAGGAGGCTGAGCCAATAGGTTCACTTGAGCCCAGGACTTTGAGGTTATGGTGAGCTGTGATCACTATACTGTACTCCAGCCTGGGCGATAGAGCAAGACTGTCTCTTAAAAAAATTGAAAAGGATTCTTGGGCTAATTTTGAGCACAATATAGGAGAGCACATTAGAACTTAAATTGTTAGTAATAACATAAATACAAAAGAATTTTAACAAGTCAGTGATGGCATAGAAAAGCAAGAAGGGAAGAAATATTCCTTATTTTCACTTTGTTGAAAAGATGAGTATTTTTACTAATACGTAGTTCAGGTGTACAAAATGATTACTTTTAGATAGTGAATAACTGACATGTTTAATATTAAAAGTTAAAATACTTGAGAATGGTTGTTAGGTGCGTAGGAAAATAACATGGGAGTTCCCTCATATTTGTCTTTCCATAGCCAAAAGAGGCAGAAGCTTTTCTTCTGAGTCTTTCAGAAGAAATTCAAAGACGACTAGAAACTGCTGGCATGAAGGGTAAACGTCTGACTCTCAAAATCATGGTACGAAAGCCTGGGGCCCCTATAGAAACTGCAAAATTTGGAGGCCATGGGATTTGTGATAACATTGCCAGGTAAGCTCATCTCAAATTAGAATATGGAAATGAGATTTTTAGTACAGGTTATTGTAATTAACCGAAAACAAAGAAAACCAAGGAAGAATTTGAATAAAGACCTGTAAACTCTGGTGTTATTTGGCATCCTGTAGAGCCAGAACTCAGACCACGGCCAATGAGTGATGTTTATGCACTTGGGTTTAGCCACACCCATGCACATGGAGGTCAGGCTGACAGCATTCCTGACCCTTGGAAGCCTTCGCTTGGTGTCTTCAGGCTGTTAACTTCAGCACATGGACAGAAGAAAAGGGCAAGGCTGCAAACCAAGGGGGTACTGCTGTGGTTTGTGAACTTGGTAAAACTATTCCTAAGGGAAATTTCAATATGGTACTTCAAAAAATAATTTGAATGAGGCAACCACTTCATTTAAGTAGGTATATAATTTTAGTTTGTGAAAAGAGTAATCATGTATTCTACAAACACTGGCAAAAGCATTTTAAAAACCCTGGCTTTTTCTGTGAGGGTCACTTAATAATAAACTTCATGTAAGACTTGTGTCAATGTGAAAATACTTGCTTTTGCTTGCTGTTTTGTATTATACAGTATACTCTAGTTTATCTGTCAAACCAAAATTTTGAGACCTTTGATAAAGCCACATATTTAGAACTATAAAGTGTATTTTAATTAAAGGTTAACTTCTGCAAACCATATATGGTGCATGTTTATGTATATAGTGATATTGCTAAGTCATAAGATGACTGCTCTCTAACGTAGAAACTCCCAAGTTAATCATTAATGCCTTTGTTCGCCATGAAAACATTACACATTAAACAACATAATTTATAAAATGTATTTGTATTCAGTTGGTTATGTTGAACCGTATTAACCTACGTTAGTAAATGTTATGATGAGCCGGGCACAGTGGCTCACACCTGTAATCCCAGCACTTTGGGAAGCAGAGGTGAGAGGCTTGCCTGAGCCCAGGGGTTCGAGACCAGCCTGGGCAACTTGGTGGGACCTCGCCTTACGATAAATAAAAAATTAGCTGGGCATAGTGGCATGCACCTGTAGTTCCAGCTACTTGGAAGGCTGAAGCGGAAGGATCATCTAATCCCAGCTGTTCAAGGCTGCAGTTGCCGTGATCATGCCACTGCGCTCCAACCTGGGTGACAGAGTAAGACCCCGACTTAAAAAAATAACAAAGCTGTTATATTCATTTATTTCAAATTGTAGTTAAATATAATTCTAGTACTCGTTTCTGTAATAAGCTGGTTATTAAGTTCTTATTGAGGAATATAATTATCTTTTAAAGTATAGTTCCCATGGGAAAGTCAGATCCAGTTTATAATACCTTTTCTGGGAATAATATGTTGTTTCAAGGCCTAGAACTTTATATGTTTAAGATAACGTGGAAAAAGATCATCCAAAAAATGAAAGGCTTTGATGGAAATAGTGGTGAGTTTAGTGCAATTTTGGTACCTAATAATGCTAGTGGATCCCTTGTCCTCCTTCAGGAGTTCTTAAAGATGTAGCTGAATGCTGTGGCTCACACTTGCAATCCCAGTGCTTTGGGAGACCAAGGCTGGAGGATTGCTTGAGGCCAGAAGTTCGAGATCAGCCTGGGAAACAGTGAGACCTTCTTCTCCATAAAAAAATTAACCAGGCATGGTGGCATACCTATAGTCCCAGCTACTTGGGAGACTGAGCCAGTAGAATCACTTGAGCCCAGGAGTTCAGGGTTATAGTGAGATATAAGCTGCTATGCTCTAGTCTAGGCTACAGAGTGAGACACGTGGTCTTTTTAAAAAAATTTTTTTAAGTTCTTAAAAGTTTAAAAATCATATATTCTAGTCTTTCTGGGTCTTAGACAAACTCCCGCTATACTTCCTTTGTCATAGCTGTCCTTACATTTCTTGATCCATTTACAGAGCCTCTTAGAAAAAGTAGAATTGTAATTAGTATATTCGAATGTCAAGATTATTCAGTGGCTTTAAACACAACGAAGGGAGAATCCAGAGTCAAAATACAGAATTCTGCTTTCTCTTCTGAGTGTTAACGGTTCCTTTGCATAGATCATCTTGGAACCTAAGACTTCTCTTGGAATCTAAGCCATTGCACTTACACTCATTCAGTTGCAAAATATGTGTATCGTTTCATATACATTAATTACAGTTTGTCTTTTTCTAAATTGCTCAACTTGTTTTTAGTTAACTGGTGTCCATTAAACAGTTCCATACTACTGAGATACTAGTGAATACATAGGAAATGTAGCTTTTGTTTCTTTAAAGAAGTAATTCTGTCACTTACAGGACTGTAACTCTTGACCAGGCAACAGATAATGCAAAAATAATTGGAAAGGCTGCGCTAAACATGTTTCATACAATGAAACTAAATATATCGGATATGAGAGGGGTAAGTATGTGATAACATTTTAAAATTCTGACTTCATGAAAAGTTTCTCTTATTTGAGGCTTGATCTGAGAATGCTCTTAGGTGGGGTGTAGGGAGCTTATATGCAGGTCCTTACCTCCTTTGTAATCCAAGGAGAAGAGGAACAAAAACTTGACTTTATCTGATCTGGTAGTTGTAAAGAAGCATCAAAATTGTTATGAAAGCTCTTTTATTTTCTGCCTAGAATCATTTTATATCTTAGATTTTTATAGTACCTTTAACTAACCAGGGGCTACTTTCGCATGTATTGTCTTTTTCTTCCTGTCCTTATTTCCTAAAAGTAGATGAGGCTGTGAGGGGTGTGAACTTCATGGTTCTTGTTAATCAGAAGTTTCTTTCTGATGTCTGTATCATAACCCTAGAAGGGAGAGAAACCACAGGCACATGAAGATGCTTTTGAAACAGATGGGCAAGAGGTCATCAAAATATCAAAACCTTGAATTTCTTTTTTTACCTAAAGATGACTTTTCAAAGTTTGGTTGTGTGTGCATATGAGGGGGACCCAAAGAAGCCCGGGATTGTTTTTTGGAGGGGGGACCCCTTGTAATACAGGGTTCCCCTGGCCAGGTGAGTGTTCTAGGAACCCATCACCACCATTGTACCAGCTAGCATTGTTGTGAGAGGCTGCATTCAGCTCCAGTGAATTTTTTTTGGAGATTCTTTTGATGCTTTTGCCCATTTCATGATGGGCGATTTACGCAGACCACCTACCTACACCATGCTTAGTGTACAGTTTTTGACCAAAATGGTTTGATCTCCATTCTCCACCCTCCCTGTTCACCTGATCTCGCCCCAAGTTACTTTTTTTTTGGTCTGTTTCCCCGAATGAAACAGTCCTCACAGGAAAATGTTTTGCCAACGTGGAAGAGGTGAAAACCAAGAATGGCAGAAGCACTAAAAAGCATCATAGTTGATGGGCTCAAAAACCTTTGAGCAATGGAAAAGGCATCTCAGTTAGGTGTATTGCATCAGAGTACTTTGAAGGTGACTGAAATTTAAGCCTTTGTACTTGAAGACATCTCGTAGATCAGCCACCAGCAACTTGACCATATTTTATGAAATAGTGAGAAATGAATCACTTCATATTAAGTAGTATAGCATTGGAACCGATTGTCTTACTGTAATGATATTTGGCTTGTAATGGAATGTTGGACATTGAGGAACTTAGTCATGACCCAAAAAATCACGATTTTATATTTTATATTTTTCTAACATGGTAACATGTAAAACAGTCACCAACATGCATTGCAGGTTCATTGGTACATGTTGTGCAATAGTAGTTTGATGTCTTTCTCCTGTTTTTTTCTATCTGAGCAGACAGTGCAGTCTCGTTTACTTCTTCCCACATTAATATGTAATTTATTGTCCATTCTGTTGTCAGAAGATGTGGAAGGACTCAATCGTGATTCCTGAAAACCACTTCTTAACTGATCAGTCATATCTCAGTATATATTCCATTTATTTATTTTTTGTGCAATTTGAAAGGGAAACTTCAAGGAAATATACATTTTTGAAAATTTTGCACTTACATAAGTTTGTCCCATATAATCACCAACAATCTCTTTATCTGAATGGTTTGCTGGCTTTACAATGTCCCCTCAGAGGGGACATCTGAGTGCAAAGTACTAAACATGTAGGAGTAAATAGATACTTTTTAAATAAATAAATTCCAAGTTTTTGGGTCCCCCCCTTGTTTGTGAATAAAGGGTAGTTGTTGGCTTGGTGTGGGTTTTGTTGAAGGCGTGAAATCAGTAAGCCCACTAAGCTCCACGTAGCATAATTTTATCATTTGTGATGGTAGTGGTGATCTGCGGTGTACTCTCTGCTCATCTCCTTCCCACACTTTTTGGAAAGTACTTCATCTTTTTTTTTTTTGAGTCAGAGTCTCACTCTGTTGCCCAGACTGGAGTGCAGTGGCCACTCCCGGCCACCGCAGCCTCGACCTACTGGGCTCCAGCGATCCTTCCGCCTCAGCCTTCCGAGTAGCCGGAATCACAGGCGTGCGCTACCACGCCCGGCTGATTTTTGATTTATTGTAGAGATGAGGTCTCACCAAGTTGCCCAGGCGGGTCTCGAACCCACAGGCTCAGGCAATCCACTCACCTCAGCCTCCCAAAGTGCTGGGATTACAGGCTGAGCCACTGAGCCTGGCAGGACTTCATCTTAAAAAGAAAAAAATAAGTAGATTGTCTTTTACTTGAACTTTTAAAAAAATCCTACTTTAAAGCTTTATTGACTAAGAACATCAGTGGAATACAGTGTTCTACTTGTTTGGTTTTTCTGCCTTTAAAAACATTTATCTATGTAGCTAGAATTGGATACTCTCAAGGTTGAGATGAGTAACCAGCTAGTCTAGAATCAGTCTTTTTGTAATACATAAAAGTCTATTTGAATATTTCCATGTATTCTAGAAATAGGATCTAGAAGATAGTAACAAAAAGACTTAGCTGAGAATTTTGCTTGGTTGAATTCATTTTTCACTTTAGTTTTCCTGGAACCGTATTCTTTATTTTGGTTGTAGGTTGGGATTCATGTGAATCAGTTGGTTCCAATCAATCTGAACCCTTCCACATGTCCCAGTCGCCCACCAGTTCAGTCAAGCCACCTTCCTGGAGGGTCACACTCTGTCCGTGATCTCTTCCAAGTTCAGAAAGCCAAGAAGTCCACAGAAGAGGAGCACAAGGAAGGTTGGTGGCCATCAGCAGGGCCCTTGGGTGGGTGCCGCACTTAGGTCCTTGGGAAGCAGCAGTTAATTCAAACACTGGCATGGCTCTGTGTGACTTAAGAGACAGCTCTGTCGCCTTAGTTTTGATTAGTCAAAAATAAGGTGGTTTTATTTGCAGTGGACAGAGGGACATCAGCCAGAGATTCAAGGTTTTTTTCCTCCAGATGATGTGAAGAAGCTATTTTTTGTATTTTCTATCCTTGTAGTATTTCTGGCTGCTGTGGATCTGGAAATGTCATCTGCCTCTAGAAATTGCACTTTCTTGCCATCTTTTCCTACACATCTGCCAGCTAGTGTCAGTCCTGATACGAGCAAAGCTGAGTCTTCAGGGAAATGGAATGGTCTGCATTCTCCTGTCAGTGTGCAATCAAGACTTAATCTGAGTATAGAGGTCCCATCACCTTCCCAGGTATATTTTTATAGTCCTAAACATAAAAGTAGTTTCCAAATGAAAATGATATTTTTGTTTATCAGTATAACCAAGAGAGAGAAAGAGGGCCTTGTTAAGAGTCATAGCTCTGCTGGGCTCGGTTGCTAAGCCTGCAATCCCAGCACTTTGGGAAGCCAAGGCAAGTAGATAGTGAATAGGCAAGTGGATAGTGGAGCCCGTGGGTTCAAGACCAGCCTGGGCAACTTGGTGAGACCTCATCTTTGCAATAAATCAAAAATTAACAGGGCGTGGTAGCATGTTCCTATAATTCCGGCTACTTGGAAGCCTGAGGCGGAAGGATAGCCTGAGCCCAGCAGGTCGATACTGGGGTGGCCATGAGTGTGCCACTGCACTCCAGCCTGGGCAATGGTGTGAGACTCCAACTGAAAGAAAAAAAAAGAGTTATAGCTCACTGTATCCACAAAATCCTGGGCTAAAGTGATCTTCCTGAGTAGCTGGGACTACATACACACACCACCACACCCAGCAGTTGAATTCTAAATAAGCAGTAAGTGGCTTAGGTGAAAGATGGTGCTTTTGCAAAGATTTGCAACTCTTGCAAGTTGTAAAGCATGGCTGAAAGGCAGTCATCTGGCGAGCTGCCACTGTCTGTGATGGTGGTAATCATGTGGATTTATCTATTCAGCAAAACAGTGCTGGTGATCAGTAGTGAAGTAGAAGCCGTGTGTCAAAGGGTTTCACGGCATTTTCAAACAGTTGTCTATGGAGTGAAGATTTTTTATAACACAAGCTATTAATTCAGTTTGGCTGTGCTTACATGTGATACACTGGGCATCTTTTGCTCCTTGGAAGCAAAGTAGCACCTTAAGCTGTGCTGGGAGAGCTGATTCATGCCCCTCACCATAGATGAAGGCTGCAAGAGATGTAAATACTGGTCATAATACTAGGGAAAGGGGCCACTCTGATCTGTTTACCCTGGTCCCAAGTTGCTGATGAAAGACACCAAAAAATTGTTGCTCCTGGCAAGATGAGATTGGCCTGCCCAGTTTATGGGATTGCATGTTTGCAAAGGGCTGGTTGTGCACAGACAGTGGAGAAAGGACCTGTCCAAAGGAGCAGGGAAGGCCGGTCTGCAGTTTGGAGTTGGTTTTGAGAAACCTTTTTTTCTAGCTTGCTGCTCTCCATGTAGGAGAATTACTTGTATTTTGGGGCAGTCCCCTATCCTATCTGAAAGGTGAACATCTAACCCAGGATTCTGTTACCTGTCCCAGAACTTTTATGTGTTTCTGAGGCATTGCTTCTGCCTAGGCTTGAGGTCTCAGTGAGCTTGACCAAGGCTCTACCTATCTGGTGGTGACTGTTGCAGGACATTAAGTATATTTGGACTTAGTGATCACGTGGTACTGGCTGGGTAGCATACACTTGTGACCTCCAGACTCCACACATGACTTCAGGCTTCAATGGCAAAAGACTAAGACATTCCAAAAATGTGCCGATTTAAGAGTGATGGCTTTCATAGTCTGGTGATCTGCACCTTGTGTTTATTATTTAGGATGTTCAAATTGAAATTAACAGTGCGCTTTATCTCCCCAAACACTTCATCTCTGCACATGCTTTAACTTCGAACTCACGTCTGCTGTTTTATAGCTGGATCCGTCTGTTTTAGAAGCACTTCCACCCGATCTCCGGGAACAAATAGAGCAAGTTTGTGCTGCTCTGGGGGAGCAAGGGGAGTCACACAGTGACAAAAGGAAAGAACCAGTAAATGGCTGTAACACCGGAGTCTTGCCACAACCAGTGGGGGCAGTTTTGCTGCAAATCCCGGAAGCTCAAGACTCTAACGTGGACACAGGAATAAATGTAATAGCCCTTCCAGCATTCTCACAGGTAAGTCACACATGGGGACCTTCTGCTGTAGTTTCAGTACTGTCGGTAGCTTCGTCCTGCTCCAGCTCAGGGCCTGGTTCCTGTCCCGTTCTCCTTTGCACCCTCACTTACACCACGCCCACTGAGGTGGCTGGGGTGTTAACTCATCACCACCTCCTGCATCTGCAGGATGGAGACAGAGTAGCCACCCTCTGAAGCAGCAAAAGGAAGGGAAGAGACAGCCATGGTGTGTGGATGCTTAAAACTTCTGCCCAAAAGACAGACAGACATTCTGCTCCTGCTTCATTGGCCATAGCAGATCCCTGGGCCACACTTGAATACAACAGGCGGAGATTATCACCACAAATGGAGCACAACTGACACAACCCGAGTTGCTGTTTTGCATGTCTACTAGTGCATTTTGTCCCGGTTGTTTTGCTGTGTTGTTATTTTTAAGTCAGTTCCTCATTCTTAACTCTAAACATTTTGAAGACTTAATAGCTTTGATATTGAGGACCTGTTAAGAACTTGTACAGCTCAGAAAAGTGTGATTTGCAAACAAAATGTTATGTGAAAAATAAAACCAGCTACCACATAGAATTGGCTCAGGTTTGACTTTGACCTTCTCTTTTCCATTAGGTGGACCCTGAGGTGTTCGCTGCCCTTCCTGCTGAGCTTCAAAAGGAGCTGAAAGCAGCATATGATCAAAGACAGAGGCAGGGAGAGAACAGCTCTCACCCGCAGCCAGCCTGCGCCCCTGGTAAGCCTTGGAAATGGCAGGTAACAAAAACGAGGTCACTGTTACATGTCATCAGTATGGCATACAATGACCAGAGTAGCTGTTAGTCACATTAAGAGCTCTTCATATTGGGGAATATCTTACGTGAACCAGGACACAGTATAGATAAGTATTGTCATAATCCCATTTGGACTTTGGTCTGTACTTTCTTGTGAAGGGATTTGTCCTTTGAGACAGGCACATCAAAGGATGTAGATTCAAAACACAAAACCTGAAAGTTTCTGGATATGCATCACAAACACCAAAGCCACACTAACTATTCCATTTCTTGAGCTTCCAGCTTAGCAGCCACTATTCCAAGTACTTCACCTGTAGAATTTTCATGGAATTCTTTATAACTACCCCCTTATAGACAACCTGCCAAAGGTCACATTAGTGAGTGGCAGAGCCGAGAGGGCTATGCAGAGCCTGCACTTTGACAGTGCCTCACACTCCAGGCCAGGGGGGTGAGGTGGGGATGGGAGCTGCTGCATGGATGGGGAGACTTTTATTTGGGAGGAGGGGCGGGAACCCGTGGTACCACCCAGACTCTTCTTGTTGAAGACCTCATATCCATCTTCCTTTAGTGCCAAAGAATCCTTTCCTTCAGCTAAAGCCAGCAGCAGTGAAAGAAAAGAAAAGGAACAAGAAAAAAAAACCCGTCAGTCCCCTAAAAAAGATTCAAAGTCCTTTGAAAAACAAGCTGCTTAATAGTCCTGCAAAAACTCTGCCAGGGGCCTGTGGGAGTCCCCAGAAGTTGATCGATGGGTTTCTAAAACATGAAGGACCTGCTGCAGAGAAACCCCTGGTAACTAAAAAAATTTTTTAACATTAACCATTATCAGATCTTAATGAACTTAATAATGTGTAAATAGAGCACTTTTATCCTTTGCTTTCTTAACAGGAAGAACTCTCTGCTTCCACTTCAGATGTGCCAGGCCTTTCTAGTTTGCAGCCTGACCCAGCTGGCTGTGCTAGACCCCCAGCCCCCAATCTAGCTGGAGCTGTTGAATTCAGTGACGTGAAGACCTTGCTGAAAGAATGGATAACGACGATTTCAGGTGGGCTTGGCCTGTGTTAGCTGGGCCCAAGACTGAGATGCACCTGGTGCTGTGATTTAGAAACATAGACTATACTGTGCAGATATAACTCATTTCCCTAGTTCTAATAAGCTTTAACGAGCTACCCCTACATTTTTTAAATTCTGGGGCTTGCTTAGAAAAGTTCCTTACTGTAGCCCACTCTTTTGATAGCTCTAAGTCAGTGGTATAGTTGTGGAAATGCAGTTTTCCTTTGCTCCTGCAGATGTCTGCTTTTCTCCTTCCAAAGATACGTTGGTTCTCACTTGAGGTTTTCCCCTCCCCTAGATCCAATGGAAGAAGATATTCTGCAAGTTGTGAAATACTGTACTGATCTAATAGAGGAAAAAGATTTGGAAAAACTGGATCTTGTCATAAAATACATGAAAAGGTAGTTTACGCAGCGCTTTTATCAAGGGGAAAAGGGCACGTCCTGGCGGCTGAGGGCGCACTTGGAAGGCCTCTGCTCTGGCCGACCTGCGCTCGTTGGGGCTCACGGGAGAGTGATGCCCTTTATTTTGAACCCCAGAGAAAGCAGCACCAGCTGACGGGGCGGGAAGATAAGGTCCAGACGAGATTGTTGCCCTCCGGGTTTACTTAACATGTGATCAAAACCATAGGTTCTTGTACTTTGAAAATTTCAGGTTTTTGGTCAAAATCAATTTTTACATGCAAAAAGGAATCAGTCTTGGGGGTCTTTCCTAATGACGTCTCTTCTTTCCCCACCTTCAGGTTGATGCAGCAATCGGTGGAATCAGTTTGGAATATGGCATTTGACTTTATTCTTGACAATGTTCAGGTGGTTTTACAACAAACTTATGGAAGCACATTAAAAGTTACATAAATACTACCAGGGAGCCTGGTGCTCTCCGCTAGCTGTGCCATAAGTGCTTGTGAGGTATTTGCAAAGTGCATGATAGTAATGCTCGGAGTTTTTATAATTTTAAATTTCATTTAAAGCAAGTGTTTTGTACATTTCTTTTCAAAAAGTGCCAAATTTGTCAGTATTGCATGTAAATAATTGTGTTAATTCTTTTACTGTAGCATAGATTCTATTTACAAAATGTTTGTTTATAAAGTTTTATGGATTTTTACAGTGAAGTGTTTACAGTTGTTTAATAAAGAACTGTATGTATATTTTGTACAGGCTCCTTTTTGTGAATCCTTAAATACTCAACTCTAGGAAGCAACTACTGTTTATTATACTAAAAGACTGGAAAACCTCCAGGCCAGACTGTTACAGGCTCCGTGCTAAGCACTGAAATTTCCTGAGAGGTCCCAGACCAGGATTCTACTTGTGCCAAGAAAGGGTAAAGCTTCTAAACCATCTTATCAGTTTTGTCTCCAAACATGAACATAGAAAATCTTCCATGTGGAGAAATTTACATATTTTGAATTAGAACACACCCACAGCCACTTGAAAATTAAGTTTTTCCTGGGAAGTTAGATCCCATAGATAGTTCAGAGGTGGTGTTACCTTTGCTTCTACTGGCTGTTGATAAACTTTGATAATAAAGAATGGTATAGATTTTCAAACATACATAAAACATTTTCTTATATGTTATGCCATACACTTTAAAAATAAACATAGGTTAAAATTCTGTGCTAGTGAATACTTTGAACTTTCTCCTCAGACACTTCCCCACATTGACTTCAACACTGTGCTAAAAAACAGGCTGTTAATGTGAGATTCCTCTAACAGATGTCATATCTAGCAGGTTTCTTAAGTTGGGGAATGGAGCTCACTTTCACCCATCCCCACATTCTTCAGGAAAACCTAAAACCAGCTACAGATTACTACTGACATATCTGCTATGATCTAGAAGTACTAATCCCAAATAGCAGAAAATGCATTCACTTTCTAGGACAAAATAGACCAAGATTAGTGTATAAAAATCCCTACTGTTGCCATGTGCTGGTATTCATGGTCATACGACAGTTGAGAGACAATTCTTGTCCTGAGGAGGATGACTCATGGTAGAGAAGCTACACTAACATGGAAGCCTAACAGAGCTTACTGGTCGATGTCTGTTGTCTTTATTGGTAGTTTGGGAACTGTGATGATTACAATGGACTCTCACAACTACACAAGCAGTAAAAAGCAGCCAGCTGTGCTTTTACACCATGGTTTCACACAAAGCAGATAAAGAAATATCAGATGCCTAATTTTCTATTTTAAAAAAGTCCTAAGGGCATATGGCAGAAGAATGCTGGAAAAAAAATCACTGTGGGAAAAATATGCATAAATAAAGAAGTATTTCTTACATCAAAAAAGTCCCAAGAATCACAAAATCTGCAGAAGCCTGGTTAATCAAATACTGCAGTACTGATTTAATCAGTATAAAATCGAAAGAGCTTTAGATCTGTAATAAAAATCCAAATTTGGGGAAGGGCAAACTTTAAAACAGCAGCCAAGTAGAGAAGGGTGGGGAAAGGTAAGTGAACAGGCACATTGGAACTGTGGGGATATGTAATTGACCACTGTCAAACCAGTGTAAGTTTCTTGGTTTCTCATGGAAAACATTTTATACACCTATTTTTTTCCTTCCATATTTTAAGTCCATCAGTGCCCAGATACGTCTGTTCCATTTTTTGTCTTGTTTTTGTTGGGATATTACAACACAGTATTGCATTTACTCCAATTCCTGCTCCGTGAGGAAAAATTAGATGATTTCAAATACTTTCTTCAGTTCCACAATAAGCTGCCAGTCACTCTTCTGCATTTCATCTCTGAACCAATCTTTGAGTGCATCGATGGACTGCCGGCTGATCTGCAATGACCAAGGCACAAAGAGAGTAAATAGAAGGGAACAAGTGCCAAAGCATGGCCCCAGATTCTACCATTATAAAGAAGACTAATGCAGAAATAACAAACAGGGCTTGGCCTGCCTAAAGAACTTGAATCCTAAAACCACATCTGTTAAGTCGATCAGGCAGGAGATCTAGCAGTCCTGGTATTCTGATAGTGCTGCTCCACTTAGGGAACACCTTTCTTAACAAAGACAAGGCCCAAAGACAGACCAAGCTCTAACGGGGGATCCAGTCCCATCAGATTCTAAAGTTACTACTTAAGCTCTCAGGGCTACTGAGTATGGATAACCCAAGAAGAGGGACTCTCCTCATTTCTTAAAATGTAATGCTTACCTTACTGACAAGAATGTCTGTTGCTTCAAAATGTCTTCCAAACATTTTGGGTGATTCACCAGGGATAGGCTCTATCTTGACACAGACTTCTTGTCCTTTTTTTGCAACATCCACTTGTTTATGGTTTATTTCAATACTTGTTACTATTCCGATGTCAACAAACTAGAGTAAGAACAGGAAGTACAATGTATGCAGAGAAATTCATGCCTATCACCAGGTGCCATGTCTGGACACTCACATAAGAACTGGAGCAAAAGAGCCCATTTTAAAATCCAAGCACAACAGCTCAAGCCTGTAATCCTAGCACTTTGGGAGGCTGGAGTGGGAGGACTGCTTGAGCCCAGGAGGTCAAACACCAGCCTGGACAACACAGCAAGATCTCGCGCCTCTACAAAAATAAAAAGAAATTAGCCGGTTGTATGTGCCTGTAGTCCCAGCTACTTAGGAGACTGAGGTGGAAGGACGGCCTGAGCCCAGGAGGCCGAGGCTGTGGTGAGCCGCGATGGCACCACTTTCGGCAGTCTGGGTGACAAAGTGAGAGCCCCCAACTCAGAAGAAAAATACATACATAAAAATAAGCATTGTAACAGGATCCTGCATTTATCACTTAAGGTCTCACGGGATAATTTTTGCAGTAATAAACTCGGACTGGCGCCACCACACACCCTGTCCTTCACAAGATGGTTGTAAGAATGAAGAGACGATGACATGGGTGCAAAAGCAGCAGCAGGCGCACATATCCCCAGTCAGGAATGAGCTTGAAGGAGGTGGGGATGAAGTGAGAAACGGCCAGCACCCCAACATGCAGCTTAAGGATGACGGGTTGTGAGCCAGAGAATGACATGAACTGGAGTTGGGGAGGGGATGAGGGGATGACCCTATAGCTGCCTTGTTGAGGGAGACAGCAAGAGTGGAGAGTCTGGTTTGGTTTAAGAGGCCAAAGCCACAAAGAAAACACTGAACAAATGTCCTGGCTAGGTCCGCTGAAATGATGCAGAAGCGATGGCGATTTTTTTGTTTTGAGTCAGGGTCTCGCTCTGTTGTCCAGGCTGGAGTACACTGGCACCATCACAGCTCACAGCCTCAAAAAACTACTGGACTCCGGCTATACTCCTGCCTCAGCCTCCTGAGTAGCTTAGACTACAGACACCCACCGCCATGCCCAGCTAATTTTTTTGTAAAGATAAGGTCTTGCTAAGTTGCCCAGGATGGCCTCAAACTTCTGGGCAAAAGTGATTCTCTTGCCTTGGCCTCCCAAAGTGCTGAGGTTACAGGGATGAGCCACCGTGCCTGGCCAGCAATGACAATTTCTAAGTTTTATTCCCCAATAAAAGAAACCAGATGTGGGGCAGGGAAGTATTTATTATATGAGCCTGAAGAATCTCACTGCCCCAGAAAGGAAGAAAATGCTCAAAGTGCTATGTGGTGAGGAATACAGGAGCCAGCTTAGATGGGCTCTCACTGACCAAGCTGGAGAATCTGAGTATCAAAGAGTAATAGTAGTGAATTATATATATTTAAAAAGGCAAAACCCACTGTGTCTACAGGACGAAAGGTCAATGAGAAGGTTCTTCACAGAAATGGGGGGGGACAATTTTGCAACTATGTAACTGTTGACTTTGGCAAGTATTGCCAGTGGGTACTAAAGCCACTGGGATAGATTGTTGAGAAGCAGGACATTCCAGGGAACACTAAGAAGCCCATGGATAATTACAAAGGGGGAAAAATCGCCTTCCCTCTAGTGGAGACAATTAGCAGCTAGCACTTTCTTCCCTGGGGGATCAGAATTAGTATCACCAATCAATGTGACTGCGTATCGATGTAATGTTAGCATCATAAAATGAACTGGGGAGAGTTACATCTTCCTCAGTTGCCTGGTGATACTACACAATGCAAAAGACATACAACTAGTAAGTTTCATCTCCGATAATTTTAACTTGTATTGAGTCTGGTGGAAACAGGCAAATCCAAATGAAGTAATAATTTACAAAACTGGGCTGGGCTCTTCAAAAAGGATGGGGGACTGCTCTTGACTCAAGCTCAAACACAAAACCAGCCCCGATTCAGTGCACCTTGTGGGGGCCCTGGGACAGATTGGTGGGTGAAGTTACCAAAAACATCTTTGGAACAACTGGAGAAATGTGGATGAGGACTGCACATTATAGAAGATTCATGAAATAATTTTAAACTCAGGTATGCTGATCTAAAGGAAAGGTACATGATGCTCCTTATACTATTCTTCAAACTTTCCCCTAGGCTTGAAACTTTCCAGAAACATTTTTTAAGGCAATATTTCAAGGTTCTTTGCTGTGTGAAGTAACTGAACCACTGAAATCAGGTGCTAAGACTAAGTATTGGTGAATGTCACCATTCCTGAGGCACAAATTACAGAAGGTGACAAGCTCTGCATGTTTTAAAGTTTGTTCCCATCACTCTTTTTTTCCTTCTGAGGTAAGAACACGTAAAAACTTGTTAAGATAGTAGAGACTTAAATGTACAACACAGTGTTATGAACTACAGGCACGAAGTTGTGTTGTCACCACTCTTGGACCTCTCTTCTTTAAGAAATGGCCAGCTGAAGGCTGAAGTGCAACTGGAACTTACATTTTTGCTCGGGACGCACATGGGTGTCCCTTGTTTCACCTGGCCTGCTTCCACAGTCACTCCCATCACTATTGGATCTCGAGAATTGAAAATGTACTGAGGGAGGATTTTCATCTTGCAGGGAAATACCGCTATGTGCCTGAAAGGAAAAAACAATTTTTAAGCTTACAAAATCATTTAAACATTAAAGCAAAAAAGGCAGCTGAACACGAGGCTCCTTCCTTGAGACGAAGGAAGATTTCCTCAGAGGGCGCAGAAGAGGCAGGCAGGCTGCCGCAGCCCGGGCTACATTTCTGGGCGCTGTCTCCTCCTCCTCCTCCTTCCCATTCTGCTGGTGGCCGAGTTTTCGCTTTCTTTGCTGTTAAAGCCCTAGCCCAAGAAGCAGCTGCATCACAG